TCACTCGTTGGCAGACTTCGCATGCGCGAACATACTTTCGCACAAACTGATACTGGCGGGGCCAGTAAAAGTCTCGACTCACCGTGAGATATGTTTTCTCCCGGCCACGAAGTCCTCCTATAGGAGCATCGTGATACTCGAACATGATCCGCAAACGCAGATCAGTATCATCTGGAATGACAACACGTGGTGTGTCATTAGTAATGGCTGTATAATACAGTAAACCGTCGCGAGTAGTGTATCGATCTGATGCAGATCGATACGCAGACGACAATCGTTTCAACGATTCTCGAGATGGTTGTGAGAGATGTGTCAACAACTTCACAATCTCACCATCTTGGGCGTATGCCCGCCTCACATCATCATACAACGCTGTAGATGGGACTGAGGACGTCATAACCGCAACAGTGACTGTATCACTGTTGGGTTTCACGACTGGTTCAAAGTCGGGACGACGTGAGAGTGCATCAGCGACGATATTAAGTCGTCCTGGTTTGTACTCGACCGTAAGTTGTATTCTGCAAAGAATGACAACCACCGCGCCATTCGTTGTGAAAGGTGCGGGCTGTTCACTGCCGTGCGTAATGACGCATGGTCAGTGCAAACAATGAAGGGTATATCTCCTAAGAGATAGACTCTGAACTTCGCGAGTGCATATTTCATGGCAAGGAGTTCCTTGTCATGCACTGGATAGTTCCGATCATCTGGTTGCAGCTGACGCGACTGATAGCAGACGACGCGTTCAACGCCTTCAAGATCGTACTGCATTAATGCACAGCCGATTGCGAAATCGCTGGCATCACAGACCACATGAAATGGCCTGTCCTGATCGGCTGTTGCTAGGACTGGGGATTGTATCAAGCTCTGCTTGATACCCTCAAAGGAGCGCTGACATTCAGCGTTCCATAACCACCTTTCGTTCTTTTTCAACAAACGAGAGAGGTGTACAGTCATCTCGGCGTAATTGCGTGAATACTTGTGCAAATACGCCGCTAGCCTAAGGAATTTTCGAAGACCTTTGACATCAACTGGCACAGGCCAGTCGGTGATCGCCTTAATCTTTTCGGGATCAGGACGTACACCGTTCTTACCAACGATGCACCCAAGAAGTGGTATTTCGCTTGCTGCAAATATACACTTCTTGAGGTTTGCATACAATTGGTGCTTTCGCATGATTGTAAGAACCTGTCGGACGTGGTACCTGTGAACCTCAACGTCCGACGTTCCATCCATAGCCCGACTATGGATGAATACGTCATCGAAATAACTCGGCGCGAATTCTCGTACTGGTCTCAACAGATGTGATACACATCTGTTGAACGTGGCCGGGGCATTACTGAGCCCTTGTGGCATTACTAGCCATTCCCAGAGCATGCCGCTAGGCGTTCTAACTGCGGTATAGGGTATATACCGTTCTCGCATAAGGATTTGATAGAAGCCATCCATCAAATCCATGGACGAAAAGATGGTACTCTTTGACACACCATCAATGATTACGTCCTTCCTCGGTATCGGCGTCTGAGCCGGTACCGTTGCAGCGTTCAATTTGTTGAACGCGTGCACTATCCGCCACCGTCCTGTTGCTTTTCGCACACAGAAGGTCGGAGAGCTATGTGGGGAAGTTGATTCCCTCATATGGCCCGCAGCTAAACGATCGGCAAAGAACTTGTCGATCGCAAGTACTTGTTCACGAGGCAGTGGCCACTGCTTCATGACACAGTACTTCGAGCCTGGTTTAAGCTCGACCTCGTGTCGAATACCTTTATCCTTCGGTAAGTCGCACGGAACAGTTTCAGGGAATATTCCTTGAATTCAACCGAATCTTCATAGAGAGGATTTGTCTTGAGCGATTCCCAGGATTGGGAGTCATATCGCTCAATTCGTGTCTTTTCATCTAGGACACTCTCGTCCATAGATAAACTACTGAGAACTCTCTCGTTCTCAGTAAACACTGTTGCTGACCTTATGTCGGCTACACACTCGTCGTCAGCGACTAGTACGCAGATCTGCTTGACTTTGCCACTACGCAGATCACGCAAGAACCTTTTATGTTCGAGCGTTGGCAACTGAGTGATCTCCGAAGTCAACTTCGGAGGCGCAATCAGATCAAGTGTATAAGCGCCTACACTTGATCCGTTATTGACTATGACATTCAATGTCTCTGTCATTTCCTGGGGACTTATTCCCTCAGGCTTCGAAGGACTTATTCCTTTGTCTTCCCGGGGACTTATTTCCGCGGGTTTTGGGGAACTTATTTCCGCCGTATTTGTAATCTTGGGACTTATTCCCTTTACTTCCTCTAGCTGGGGTTGCGCAACCACAGCGAGATCCTCTACGAAAGACTCTCCAGTCGATCTAGGATTATCGTTTCGCTTAACCCGAGCGATCGACTGTTTCTCTTCTAGATGTTCCCCGCTAGGGATACATCTTTGTCCCGGTCCACTCGACTTATTCGAGTGGTGGACCTTCGGCGCAGCCTGTGTTTCCTCACAGCCGCCGGAACTTTGCTCCGAAGTGTAACCGTTTGTCACACTAAGGTTTTGTGCAGTCGTACTAACGACCGTACCACAAGTGAGGCCATCACACTTACTCGTAGTACATCCACACGCTTGTGGACGCTCCAAAACGTTCATCAGATGGCCATCTGATGAACAAGCGGCAGGCATCGTTACTGTTCGATGTTGCCAGTTTACTCGTGGTTCGTACCTTCTGAGCCACGGTATTCCAAGGATGACATCAAATTTGTCATCCAAATCCAATACGGTAAAGTCATCGTCATATTGGGTATCTTCTAGCGTATAGTGGATCTTCACTATACGCTTCATGACGGTTACGGATGCGCCTGTCGCAAGACGTACCGTCATCCTCGTAGGAGGTGTGTCACATTCACTGAACTTAAAGTGACCATCTTCTAGCGATTGGCGTCGCACAAAATTGTTAGACGCCCCACAATCGATTAGAGCTCGAAGGGACAACTTATTCGTCACTTCGAGTTTCAAGGTAATGAGTGAGATCTCATTACCTAGAGCAGCAGCGCACAATGTTTGTGTGTTGGGAGCAACCTTCATCAAGAGGCCTACAAATTCTCTTGACGTTGCTGGACCAGTAGGGTGCTCCGCACCTACTGATCCTGTCCGTTTTTGACGGTCCATCCCGTTGTTGCGTCTTTGCACCAACAGCGGACCCGCGTCCCTGCCCCTTTCTCATGGGTGGACGGTCACTACGCCCAGTGTTGCGAGACACTGGACGAGGGGCACTACACTCGTAAGCGTAGTGTCCTGTCTTTTGACATCTGTTGCATTTCTGAAACTTCTTGTAGCCTGTAGAGCGAGCCTTCTCGCTCTCTACATAACAGAGTTCCATCGGCTCTGGACCTCCGCTGTCATATCGTCTCGGTTGACGATATGATGTCGAGCTGGCGCAAGCCTGTCTCAGACTGAAGTCTTCCTGCTCCGCAATGGAAATGGCTTGTTCTAGTGAATCTAGTTCAAGCCGGAACAGGTGAGTCTTGACGGGACCATCCGCAAGACCCTGCATGAACACCGAAGCCAACGCGTGTTCATCTTCCAAGTTGGAACTTTTACAACTCGTGAGATGTCGTATATGTTGTGCATAAGCGTGCACATCACGCTTACCCTGTTTGAGCCTCAAGAGTTCATTTCGAGCTTCGAACTCAGCTCTAGGCGGTTCAAACGGTTGTCTGAGCCGCGACTTGAAGACTTCCAACGACCCAAACGCATGTGGGTCGTGCAACTTGAGCCCCAGTGCCCAAGTCTTGGCACGTCCTGCTAGATTTGACTGGGCAAATGCAACTTGCATATCCCCGTCGTCGATGCGACGCGCCCTTATGGCGTCATCCAATTCGACGAACCATCTCAAGAGGGAGTCCTCTTCGACTCCCTATACTTGGAGATGTCAATCTTCAAGGTCTCGGGTCGACGCGAGTGCATCGACCCACCAGCAGCAGCCTGCTGCTGTCTCAACAGTTCAAACTGTTGAGCACCCTGTTTTCTCAACAACTCTGATTGTTGAGAACCTTGTTGGTGAAGCAAGGCTACTTTCTCGCGTTCAGCGTCAAGTTCATTTTGAATGAACTTGGCGATAGTAGCATGTTGGGCATCTCTATTGAGCGCCTCTAGCATGACGGTAACAACATGGATGCCCATGGTTGAACCCATCCGTTTAACCGCATCCCATTCAACATCGCTCAAACGTGAGTAGCCGTCACGCGTAGCGTGAAAGCTTTGGTCATCTTCATCATCTAACATATTCATGTTGGATGTGAACGCGGTCCTTGGACGGACTACGAAGTGCTACCAGGTGTAACGGGGCACCCTGAAGCTTGTACTGGTGACAGTACAAGCTACTTATTCTGATGACAGAATAAGGCGGTGCCTCGTAACTTCACGTACACTCGTACGTGCAGAGGAAGACGGTAAGAAGAAGCGAGTACTCGGTTAGAGTAAAAAGTAGAACTGTATTTATAATAGTTAATGTCTGCAAGAAATCACTATTTATCTTCATCTAACTATGTCTAAATACAAATGTGTAAATCAACTATCTGCTCACCACTCATTGCGTGCGTCTGTCGTGGCGCGTCTTCGTTGGTTGATATAATGGCCTATATCAACCAATTAGGAACTACTCGTAAGTGCTACAGAATATTTGTCCTTATGACAATATTCTGAGAATATAACTCTTATAGTTATATTCTACTAACAATTTCTTATAAATTGTTATGTAGCGATTCACCCCGTTACACTCTCACCTTTTTGCCTTGACCCCACTGTGCGTGACTTGCCGTCCCGGGCAAGAGGATCAGTTTCCTGGCTCTTCAAAGAGTCTCGTCTCTGTCTGTGGTTGCAGCTGGCTGTCGATCGGGGAGTGGCGGCCAGGCTGATGAGGATCAGTCTCCGCACCGCATCTCGACGAAATCACGCCCGCAGTCCTCATTGTACAATTCACTCGCAGCCACCCACCCACCCACCCGAGCCACTTGTATGCATAAGCTCTGCCTTCTACTCGCAGTCCCCGGCACCTTTTTCGGTGAAAGTGCCGAATCGATCGCCAGCGGCAACCCGGTAACTGCTTCACGCAGTGACGACACGACATCCAACTCGCCGATTCGTTTGCAGTCCCAGGGCTCGCCTGTGGGCATGACCGCGTCGACTACTCATCGCAGTGTGGGGTCGAAAGACTGGATAGCTCCTTCATCAAACCACAAAGGAGAGCGCACAGAGGAGCGAGCGATGGGAATGGATGCGCTGGTTAAGCTTTATAATTACGTCAACGACCTGAAGCTCAATCAGGACACGTACCTCTATCGGAAGCTGGAAGAATGGTTCAAGCGTCCAGTCCACCCCTACTGATGTGGCAGAAAACCTGAGCCTTGCTAGACCGGAGGTCAGTCCTAAGGTGCTCGACGCCTGGTTGAGGTATGCTTTCTTGTATGATGAACGTATTGGGAGTATCTCCGCTGACCGAATTTACGAGTCGTTCAAGGGCAGACGTTCGGACGCTGAAGTGTTCAAGCAGCTTATCTCGATCTACAACATCGACAGCGACGACTCCAAGCATAACGTAATCTCGATGTTCAACAAACTAGCTGAAAGCGTCTCATCCGCGCCGGGCGTTGCGGCTTTAAATTGGATGGCGAACGAGTTGAAGGCGTTAAAGTTGCCTCCCGTGGAAGTAGCCGACATGCTGGGTTTGCAAGGTGTTGTGCTCTGTGTGTTGCACCATTCTGCAGCTGCGTGGATTCGCTTCGTTGATCTCTTGCATGAAGAGAATTCGGACCTTGCCATTCCCGTGAAAGAGGCGTGGTCAATGTTGATCGGCGATATGGACATGGAGCAGAAGCATCGATTTCTTCTCCTGGTCTGGCCTGACCTTCCGGCCAGTCTAAACGCTAGAGTGCGACAAGCAGGATCGATGTGGGACTGGTGACGTTGTGCTAGACTGGATAACCAACCATTTCCTAACATGGCCCCGATTTGTGGTTTCTGTTCACGCTTGTGCGCCCCCTACCTTCCTCTCCCTCTCCTCCGTTCATTGTGTTCCACGTCATCTTCTCTCCATCAAGACACCGGATATGTTGCAGCTCCTTCTATTGCTAGCGCTGCCGTTGGCTCAAACGAAGCTCTCGATACCCTCTGACTACTCCTGTGTCGTCGCTTTTCCCACGTCTCCAGAGATCACGACGTGCCGGTGCCAGGAGGTGTGTTGTGTTTGCTGTGCTGTGTTCGTAGGAGTATCAGGCCACCTGACGACACATGGCCGTTGTCGTCGTAAAGCTCAACCTGTGAGACGAGCTGAAGTCGAGCCTAGTGTGATTGGAGTGGTAGTGCGAGGAGCCAAGGCGGTGGCGGTGCTACAGCACATCTAAGGAGAGAAAACGTCAGACCCAAGACGTTGTCCGGCCTTGATTACCGTCTGAGAGGGCCCTCGAAGCCTGCACTATTGAGTGACAAGGACTCGGCACATCCGACTGTTCGAGCCTTTGTGCCAGCGATAGAACTACCGTACACAGTGTCGTCTCCTACACCGCACAGCAGCAATGTGTTGAGCAGCTCTCATAGTTGCGTCGCATGTCATAGAGCACATCTTCAGTCGCCGGTCCAGACGAATGCAACAGGGACATCAGTTTCTTCAGCTAGAACCCTCTGCGCTTGTGCTTAATCGAGTCGAATCCGCTGCACCGCAACGTATCCATGCTGAGGAATGGCAGTGTACTCTCCTGCTGGAGCCATCGTCGCCTGCACAGAAAGCTGTCGCCTTTGGGCTGCGTAATAAGCTTGTACTTGTTGAGGAGGCAGAGGGGGTAAATCTGGAGCGCTGCATAGCACCCCGTCGATAGATATTGAGGCGAGTACGAGCCTCGACATGCACGCTACTGCGGATATGGCTGGCACGCCGGACCGTAATCTAATGGAGGAGGGTAGCCATGCTGGAGAGGCAGGCAACAGCTACCTCGAGGGGGAGAGGTACCCCCGTTCATCATCGTTGAGCTGCTTCTCGACGACTGATGAAGTTATGCGTGAGGACTCGCACTTGCATGTGCTACAGACAGGGTTGACGGTACATGTCATAGTTGACGAGTCACCTCGTCTTAGTGAAATGGCTGTCGTGGGTGCACGTTGTCAAGACTTCAGCATGTAAACGAACACATGGACGCTGCAACACAAAGTGATGTTCTACAAAGACGACGACGTACCGGGTGACAAGTGAGAAGCAAGCGCCTACGAGGAGGAAACATAACTTGATGGAGATTCCCACGGTTGATTGCATGGATACGACACACCAAGTTCGGTTGGCTACCACGATGCATGACGAAGACCATATTGATACTATCTACAACGTGAAGCCATGCACGGACGGGTAGCAATCTCGGCAAACTAATTGGTGTGCCTAACGGTCGAACAAAAGCTAAAGCTGATGGCATCTCAACAGTCGAAAATCCGGTTGACAGCAGCATCGCAACATCAAGTCACCAAAATGCTGGTAACGTTACAAGTTGCTGCATCTCATTGACTTGCAACTTCGCGGACACTTTACGACAAAAGTGGGCAGAACGACAACTCGCGGCCATTATTCGCTTCGTGTCAAGAATGCACGCAGGTGTAGGTCGTTTTTGTCAGACGACCTTATGACTGAACGACATCATTGCGCATCTTGTCCTGCATGATTTAATTCAGTCTAGCGAAACACTGGCTTCGTAATTCACTTTCAGCGCAGGAAGCGCAGTGCAGATGTTCGTTGTAGTCATGAACGTCTTCAGTTACCCGGGCCAAGTTTGTAGCTATAAAAACTGGTTTACGTGCACCGCGTTCACGGTATTGATTCGATCGCTTCCCGGTGGACTCGTGTATCTCGGCTCTCAGACGTGTTTCGATGGTAAGCGACAGGTATTTCTTAGAAACGTTACGAATTACTCGTTCATATCTACTGCTAAGATCGGTGCAGGTCCTGAGCAGCTTGCAGTATTGCTAGCCCTGCACCGTGAGGAAGCGTACAGCCGCAACGATTATGTTATCCGCACTCAGCTTTACACCATCAGGTCAGTTCTTCGCTACATCCTGCTTTTCGCCAAGCGTATTCTATTCATAAGCGATGCAAGAGCTCGACGGTATGGAAACATGTATGATGCAGGGGCGTTAGATCAGGAGTTGCAAGTGGTTAATGCGAACCATCCCCCTATATATTGGTCACCAACTAGCAACTTTAAGTAAATGTTGACAGCTTAAAGCGCGTCGTGGTTGTTAGTTGCGTCGTAGTGGCTGCGCATGTGAAGCATCTTATCGCCAGAGATTCGATACCTTATGAATTCAGCTTTCTCTGGATGTGATGCTGAAGCGCTTGGCCGTTTAGTTGTAGCCCAGCACAATTGTTCGGACTCTGAACTGAGCTGGACCGAAGTAAGGCCGCGATTGAACGATGTAGGCCGATGTTGTGTGGTGGCGCTTGGATTGTGAATGATAGAAACCGACATTGGTAAGGTATGCGTAATGTATGACAACTTGTTCGTCCTTTTAGCAAGTTGCTTGTTTACGCACGTTTTGAAACAGACAGCAGCACAGCAGACGACATTGTGAAATAGCGATTGCGTGAACGTCTTCTTTGTGCGTGCGCAGGATATTCACACAACGTAATACCGTCCTGCATTACACTTTCGTGCAAAAGAAAGCTCGCTACAAATGTCGGATCTGTGACGAACGCGATGTTGATGTGGTACATGGAGTCGGTCACCTTGGCATCCAACTGGGAACGAAACCATTCAAACATGATATCCTTTCGAAACCGATTGCAGTCGGGCCTACTTTTCGCTCACATCCGCTACTTATGCGAGAGAGCTATACTCGTGTGGCTGCAGCTGCGCACGTTGTATAGTAGACGCATCATCACAAACGAGCGACAGTACGTTTTTATCCCACTTGAGCTTGAAAAAGCGCTGATTCACTTGCTTTTACTAGGGATCGAAAAAAGGGTCGTCTTTTTCTCTTGCAAAGATGAGTAAGTACGTATCCGTCCATCTCCTGCATAGACAGTCGGCCACCACATTGAGAAAAACGTGCTACAACTGACTCCAAGGCAGACTAACGAGCACCACTTGTGACTCGGAAGACAGTTATGCTGGACTCGCTTTTGCAACGCTTTTTGGCCCGCGCCTGCCCTGCCGACAAGGAAGACGACACGCATCACGAATCTGCTGCTCAGCAGGTGTCTCAAGAAACGGCGTTCACTCGTGAAGCAGACGTGGAAGGCTGGGTCTTCCTGGCCGAAGAGCGACACTCGGAACCAGGCAGCAAGACACGCAGTTACGCTGATGTGGTCGCGGGAAGGACGTATGACGGATAACCAGCTGAGCTATGATCGCTGCATAGGAGAAGATGATGCGATTTCTCTGGAGTGAGTACCAATCAGCTCCTTGAAACGTCAGTTATGCTTCTTTTTTCTCGTTTGTTACTAGATATGATGCAGCCAATGCACTGGCCTTACAAAGTACTGATGAAGCACTATTCGGTTGCTTCAGTAGGTAGCAGTCAATAAGTTCAAAATCGTGGCATGGTGGTCGGTCACCACGGATCCGAGAATCGCTCGTGTACTTTTCTATGTTACTCTTCTTCGCTCTTCATTTCACACTCAGCTGGGAGGTAAGACAGCAACTTCTCGGGCACTATCTGCTTCAAGTCAGCATACGAAGCCTTGTGTAAGTTCAGCTTCTGCAAGATATCGGCGTCGTCGTGAATTTCAAACGGGGCGCTGAAGTTGAAAAAAATGTCGTGACGGTCTTCTGACATCTCACACTGAATCACCGTGTCTTTGCTCGTATTCACGGCGATGAATGGCAGGAATATCCGCCCTTCGTCGCGTGCGATGTTAGCGGTTGCCGGATTCTCGCTAGCTGCTCGTTTGCGTTCTGCGTTTCGCTTCAGGAGATTCCTCATCGCAACTTGTTGTACCAAAAGGTCTTGCAAATGCTGTTTCTTTTGCTCCACGCTTTTCATACGCTCGCTTCGTTCAGCCTGCCATGATACGCATCAACTAAGTACATCACCGTCGAGCACACACGGCAACACCTCTACGAACAACGCACCAATAGCATTTCCGTGTCATGCTGTAAATTTGAGGGCAGCCCTTTCCATCGGATCTCCTTGCGCTCTTTCGATATAATGTCCATCGCCATGAGTACGTTCAACGCATCATAAACGCGCCGGCGGATGTTCTTTTCATCGTATACCTGATAGCCCATCACAACAGAAAGTGAGCGCCGTTGACACACCCACAACAGCGTCTTATCGCACCACTTACCGAATCGTTTGGTCGCATCGTAACGAACTCGCGAACGAGCTCATCTGCGACTTCATTATAGGACGTCACATGTTTTTCTTCTACCTTCTGGCACACTTTCATGCTGAAATGACGAAGACCCTTGTTAAGCTTCAAGTATCTTCGATTCTTTCCCGGTGACCTACAACAACACCAGCAAGCCCGATGAAAAACAGCTTTTGTGCTCGTAAAAAGGAATACGGAGACACATACGGGCTAGTGAACGTAGGACTGGCAAATGTCGGCGTTTCTGGCACTTGTTTCGATCCACTTCCTCCTTTACGAGGTGTTGCCGTACACGCATGCGGCGTGTCAACAAGAGCCCCATTCTTCAAGATTCCAATCTCTGTAGCCATCTTCTCGAGTCCCTGAGACTTCATCATGTTTACAAAGTCGTCGTGAAGACTCGTGGGGGTAACGGACGCACTTGCTGCATCCAATCCAAACGGCGTCTTCTCCGCTTTCATTCCAACTGCTGCACCTTGTTCTCCTCCTGCAAAAGCAATCAACAAGTTGAAACAGCACCACAAAAGCACCAGTTCAGTCCTCGACACAAATCAAGCCATATCAAGCAGTATCTCTCCAGCGAATTGTCCGCCACCGACCTGCACAGCCCTCGTCCTTCTCTTCCAGATGAACCTCCGTCAATTTCTTGAGCTCTCGACGAGTCGTTCGTTTCGTTGTGCCGCTAGTTGCAGCTCCCAGTCGTTTTTTTCCTGTGACTTTTGCAGGAGCTTGGGAACTCATTGGCTTTCTCACTGGAGACTGCAAATGGGAAGGCACGGGCGTTCCTTGAGCCGACATGAGCGCTGCTTCAAGAGCGCCTTTGGCGTGGCTGTGTCAATCAAGACGTTGCGGTTTTTTTCACGAATACCCGTGTAGGGTAGATAGGTACGGATTAATCAGTTAAGTGCGAGCAAGAGTGCTCGGTTTGGTTAAACGACGGAGCTTTTGACGTGCGGAAATGTAGCTTAGTATTGGGTGTTGACTGCGACGAGGGGACTACTGATTGGTTGAAACGATTCTTTTGTGTGGATCGGTATTGGCCAATCGTTGCAGTTAACGCTTTCACGGATAACCCAAAGCGAGGACGCTAGGAATCTACAACATGCCTCGTCACGACGACTTTTACGTGCGTTACTAGTACGTACAGCAACTGACATCGAGATCTACATGCAGCGTTACAATACGGTCTTGTTATCGTTTGTTATGGTGATGTTTTCTGGTCCATTCTTACTCGTGCAGTGTCGGTCATCGCGGCAAGTTTGGCCATGAGTTTATGGAGTTTGAGTTCCGCGGCGATGGGAAGCTTCGGTACGCCAATAACTCCAACTACAAGAAGGACTCGATGATCCGCAAAGAAGGTGACTTGACTCTTTTTTTCCGGACTGAAAAAAACCTCTTTATACTTAGATCGTAGATCGGACGCAGAAGATAGCCCGTGAGCTGAGAAACATCGTTGGCTTGCTCTGCTTCTAACATCTCTTTCTTTCTTGGTACATCTAGTGACAGTGTCCCAGTCGGTGATCGATGAAGTAAAGCGGATCATTAGTGACAGTGAAATCACAAAGTATAGGCCGAACTTGAATACGTTGTGTCTGTGCTGGTCCACAAATGTATTGGAAGGCTAACACGTGGTGTATCGACAGAGAAGACGACAAGGAATGGCCAGAGCCCGACCGGATTGGTCGACAGGAACTGGAAGTGGTACTGGGTAACGACCACATTTCTTTCACGGTGCGTGACGACCTATGGAGACAGCATGTGTGGAGGTTGGCGTCATTTGCACTCATGGTAATTTGCGTTTGCAGTGCGCGAAGATCGGATCTTTACTGGACGTTCAAGACAGCAAGGATCCCGAGGGTCTGTGTGTACTGTACTACTTGGTCCAAGACCTCAAGTGCCTGGTGTTTTCGCTGATCACGTTGCACTTCAAGGTGCGTTCGTTCTTATCTTTGCCAGCTGTAGCCCAACACGCGATATTAGCTCCCACCTGTTGTCTCACGTCGTTATTCTCACCGATATTCTGCAGATCAAGCCCATTCCGTAGGACGACACTTCGTCGATATTGGAACAAGTTCAAGTCAGCAGAAGAAGAAAAACGGGACGACCGAGTGGCCCGACCGATCTTGTAGCTCCTTTGGCGCGCATAATTCTCGACGAATGTACCCATTTGTGTGTGACACACACGTGCCGCAGCTATCCTGTTGAATCTAATGTGCATACTGTTTCAGAGGTCCTGCGTTTTCTTCCCATCTCCATCAGCTGGGGGAGGCATACAAAAACCTTGTCAGTACCGCAGGTGTGCCTCGAGAAGGAGGAAGAAGAAGCAAGCAAGCAAGCGAAGACGCAGCGAAAGCAGCAACTGGATCGTTTCTTATCCACACACACACACGGCACTGTCCCTGCACTTTTGTTCGTGCCAGTTGCATCTCCGAGCAGCGGACAATCAAGTTTCACGGGTATCAGGCGTCGGGAACTAAGCTGCGTCTGTATAAAGTTCGAGGATCCCGCCCGTTCGTTCGTTCGTCCGTCTGTCCGTCTCTGACCAGACGCAGGGCGAAGAAAAAAGCACATTCTTGAATCCTCAAGACTCGTCCGTTCGTCGATCTGTCAGATGTCGCAAGGAAAGACGTGCCACTTTAAGCTCGTGCTGCTGGGCGACACGGCCGTGGGCAAGTCGTGCCTCGTGGTGCGGTTTGTCCGCGACGAGTTCTTTGAGTTCCAAGAGCCCACGATCGGAGGTACGCGACATGACGGATGTCTCTTCTATTTCTAGATGCGGGCTGGCTGGAGTTCCAGTCTGAGTGGAGTGGAAGAACAAACAAAACCGGAACCTTTAGCTGCTTTCTTTGTGGTCGATCCGGATGTTGACACGATCTCTTGTGCTCTTGTGGATGCTGGCTGGTGTGCGTTTTTCTATTTTTCGTCTTTTTTTATACATTTTTTTGGTTGTTTTCTTGTTTCTATTTGTTCAGCTGCTTTTCTTACACAGACAGTTGGACTGGAAGACGGGTTGACTGTCAAGTTTGAGATCTGGGATACAGCAGGACAAGGTACGTCTTTTTTCGCTACTTGGAACTACTGATTTAGCTGAAATATAGGCTCATTGTTGTATCCGTGTGTGTGTGGCATGTCTTTGATTGATGTACAGAGCGCTACCGCAGCCTTGCGCCCATGTATTACCGGGGTGCTGCAGCTGCGATCGTCGTATACGACGTGACAAACAAGGTACGAATCGAATGTAGGGGTTTGTCCAACTGCTCAGCAATTTTTAGCAACATTACGACGAATTTTCCTGAAATTGCCTTCATGTCAATGCTTAGGAATCCTTCTCTGGTGCCAAGTCTTGGGTCAAGGAGCTCCAGCGCCGCGGAGATCCCAACGTGGTGATTGCTCTTGCTGGCAACAAGGCTGATCTCGAAGCTCGTCGTAAAGTGGAGTTCGAGGAGGCGCATCAATACGCTGAGGACAATGATATTCTTCACATGGAAACGTCGGCCAAGACAGCTGTGAATGTGAAGGACTTATTTGTTGCAATTGCAAAGAGACTGCCAAAGAATCCGATTCAGCCTGAACGCGAGGCTTTCCCCATCACCCCGCCCCAGGCGTCCAAGTCCAAGAGCGGATGCTGTTAGTGCCACTAGCACAGCTAGTATGACTGACTAATGGACCTGCATCTTCAATATCAGTGCGTTCTGTATTTGCCACGACCCGGAGGACGATCGGAGGATTTTCATGTGATGTTCACCTCCCTCTGGATGAATGGGGGAGACCAAAAAAGCACAGAGAAAGAGAGAGCAAGCGAGAGGAGAAGGAAGTGGCAGAAGAATGAAGCTGTAAGACGTATGAGCTACGACTGCTGGCCTTGTCGTACAGTGTCGTAGCGGACGGACAAGGCGACAGTAGATGTGATGTAAGCTTTGCGATGTCGGACATGCCGCACTAAGGACCTTCATCTGATGCTCGAGTTGATGCTTGCTTTGCCTTCCGTAGGCTATACATCCTGAAGCCAGCTTCCTCACGTCAAATGCATTCCATCCTTCAGTAGTTGCGCCGTCACACATGACAAGGAACACATCAAATCAAACTTCATTGTAATGGCAAGATGGACGGACGTCGTATCTCCTCTTGTGTGGCCTCCAGCTAATCAAGTTCCCGCTCTTCGGTGGTGTGGTCGGTTTATTCACTTACTCACCAAGAAGAGTCAGCACGTCTCTACCCTCACCACCACTTGGACGCATCAACTTGTCGCTCGTGCCACCAAGCCCCGCTCCTTCTTTGCTAGTGATCCATTCACGTGCTCTTTGTGTCCGCTCAGTTCTTCTTGTGATCGTCAATGCCGACCGTAGAGTTAATGCCAAAGATCCGGACACGGTCGAGTTCAGGCAGCTTGGCCAGAATGAGCGTCGCCCAGATGGGAAAATTGATGAGCAAATGACGCATGTCATAGTCCGTCGCCACCGAGGCGGCCAGGAACAAAAACGTGGGGATCATCATGAGGAACTTCTTCGTGTTCGTCCAGGGGTGTCCCTGGTCAATCTGCTCGTAGAACGTCAGTTCGCGGTAGTCGCCCATTGAATTGTCATCGGGCGAGCCTTTGATCCAGTGCATGATCCCAAACGAGATCTACAGCCGAGCAAAAGAAGAAAACACACCCATCAGTCAAGACCCCTCAAGAAGCATGACCATAGACGTCTCCTCTCCACTGTCCAAGCTCATGTTATAGTATGTAAACAGCACTAACGATTGACGTACCGCGCCATGAATCGCGTTCATTGCCGTGAGGGCGTCACCGTGTGAAGGAAAAACAATGGGCATGGCCATGTACAGCGACGCCAGGAGCAGGATGTAAAACGTCCAGAAGCCGCGGGAGTCCATCCAATTGACGTTCTTGTTGGTGTCCACGTGCACGCTCATTGGCTTGACGCGAGTGGTCGATATGTGGCTGGAAGGTGGCGCTCAGCCTGGGTCTCGTGGTGGTGGTTGTGGTTGTGGCGAAAGTCGGACGCGTCGGCTTTCGCTTGTTCGGTTGTTGACGGATTGGCACCCACGATTTTTTATTCGAGAGCGCTGATTGGACGAAACCCACCCTTATGCGAGCCACTTTTCCCCAATGATCAGTGAGTGTTTCGTGACGTGATGTACGTACGGGCTGCCGCTTACGCACGCTACATTCGACAAGATGTTTCGATCGACAAAGTCGCAGTCTTGGCAGCTGTTTCAATAGTGGAGTCTGAGCTAGTGTCGCGAATGACGGATCCCTTTTTTTTGCACTGGATACTATTTGGATGAATGGTACAGTTGATGAGTGGCGTTCACTATAAAAGTCGTAAGGATGTTTGAAGTCGTGGCTGCGTAAGGACGGACGTCTTGATATCGCGGGCGTTAGTTACAATTACGACATGCATCGCTCAGTGCGAAAAAACTTCCAATTCGACACGTCAACGTATCATCACGCCGATGCTAATCAAGTAATTGGTTGCACTCAACTTACTTCTGTCGGTGGAGTCCCGGTTGTGTCGATTCACGCCAAACGGCATCTCAATTGACCAAGCGTCTGCCTGTCCGTGCGGCGGCTATCGTTAGTGAGATTTGCCACACGCTAAGCACGTCCGATCTTTTACAGCATACATAGATCACGCTTCCGTTGTCCTGATCAGTGAGTCAACGGCAGATCGGGGCATTTGCGGAGCAATCCTCGTGCAGCACGCAGCACGTGTAACAATCACAAAAAACTGCCAGAGTTTGGCAAGCACGGGTTGTGACCGACTATGGCCGTACCTTGTCAGTGCTGCAGGCTTCGGTAACACACTTCGACGGTCATCAAGGCGAGATCACGTCTCACGTCCCTCTCGACAATTCTCCACAGACGTTTTGTAGCACCACGAACCCCTTCCATTGGTTCCCTGTACTCCCATTTCAATCACTCTAGGCCCCCCACCTACGTCAGCTCTTATCACAAGGTGGGGGATACGACGATAACGGCAACGTGTCATCAGGAACTGGAGTCTGCCATTGCCACTGACACGCAATCTGTCATAACTGGTTAGCTCGGCACTGTTACATGCAAATCACATCTCCTGGTCGCAGCGAGGGTTTCGATAACAGCCAATGTCAAGGACGTTTCTCTTGGCCTCACCGTTGTAGCATTGCATATCGAGCTAGTTGGAATGGACCTCGTAGACTTCGTCGCTCACTGCATTACACGGTATCACTTCTCACCGCAGTAAGTATCATTCCCTTAAATCTGTCGAAGCAACGACGCGTAGGTGTCATGTAGAACCTGCTCCAGCTCTTGCCGTTGATCTTGAGGTCTCCGTGTAGCTTCCGTGGTTGTCTTTCGAGCGCCGTCTCTTTCCTTCCTTGTGCTCGATGCAGTTTGTTGCTGTCTCTGTAACTTGAGCAGGAAATGCACAAGCTCAGCGCTAAGGTCGGCGTTCTGCGCACATGCGTCAACGATCCAAGGCAGCACTTCGGACAAGAGGCTAACGTACTGAGCACAGCTCTCGCCAGAGCTTCCAACACCATTGCGCAACTTGTTCCATATCACACGAAGAGCTTGTTGCATCGCAGCACTCTGTCGATGACCAGAAAGATATGTAGCACACAACGAGAGCACGACGCGCAATCGAAAACGCCATTGAGCCATGTCCTGTTCAGCTCCTTCTGCCATAAACTCCATCAGCGGCTTCGTTGCGTGAGTAGCCTGGGACGACGATGAACTAGGGGAAGTCATTTTGGATGACATCCAGTAATCCCACAACAGCTTCATCGCTGGTACATTGGCAACCAACGTCGGAACCAGTGTTATATCATACCCCTGTGTATGAAGTGCTAGTAGGAGTCGCGGAGGAGACGGATTGGACGACTTACCATCAGCCAGCAGCAGCTCGTTCACGAATGTGCGTAGCAAAGCACGGCCCTCTTCGGCGACTTCATCATCACTTGACTCAGACCTTAGTGTAGAATGTCGCTCGATCAGACAATGAACCAACAAACAGTCCTGGAGGAGCTGATGCTGCTGAACAGTGCTCGTAGTTGATGTACTGCCAGCCATACTATCCGTTGGCACACAGCTGGGATCGCACTTGGTCACGTGGGTATCGGCTGCAGCTCGCACATCGCGAACCAGACCTAGAAACATTCGCAACAACGCCGGTTGACAAAACACACCGTCGTTAGCGTCTTCAACAAGTCGGAACGGTTCTTCCAGCGCCTGCATGTATGTCAACAGTTGCAGTGGTCGTCTTTCGCGCGTCTGCACCTGTTGCTGGTGCCATAGCACATCCGGAAAACATAGCGAATGTATCAATCGCATCGCCAGCGACACACTTATTCCTTGTTCACGGCGAACACGTGACTCGTACAACGCGGCAAGTTGCGAGCAGAATGCTGCGACTTGTTCACACGACCTCGAAGACGCGTTCGATGACATAACGGCGAATGGCAAAAAACCGTCGACCAATGCGAGCAGCTGATGCACTACTATGTCAATAGGCGCCGACTGCAGCTCAGCAAGAAGCAAATGGACTGCTGTCCATGATGCAGGCGACTGTTCAACACGAATATCCAGCGCATCACCACATTTACGGTGACGACGAAACCAGCTTCTTCTCAGGTCATACTCTGCTAAATCACAGGGACTAGATGCGAGAGGTAACAGCTGTAATGTCGAGCCTGATGGTGCCGAAGCTGTGGCAGCGTCAAAAAGATGCGGGTATTCTTCCACCATTAGTCTCAGCAACGTCGGAGCTACGAACTCGAAAACGTCACCCTGGTCTCCGTGTGCAAGGGTTTGGGTCGCAATGTTGCGCAAAGGGAATGCGCTCAGGTCATAATGTAAACAAATGTCAGCCCCTGGTCCCATTCCAGCTGTGATAGACGCATTGGTGCACATCGACGAAGTGGAAGCCAGACTGCTCAGTTTACTACCAGCGACCATCGTAGCGCGACGTAATCGCTGGTTAAACTGCAATGCGTACGCAAGCCCTAATACTCCACGTGCCCAGATCAAACCGTCTTCGTGTCGGCTACTGCACTTATAGGGTTGACCCAATAGCGGGGACGTGAGCCATTTAGTCAACGTAGAGCTTCGCAACGGAACAATCGAAAGTTGGTATCGACAAGGGGATTGGGCGATAGGGTATTCGAATGCCATCACGTAATTCTCGACCCATTCGAGCAACAAGCTGACGAGAAGGGGGTGAACAGGCAAAGCTGCATGGTCGCCAACCTGAGCAGCGATCCAACTTTCAAGATCATGAGCATGATGATGCCGCAAAAAAGACTTCTCACACAGCAACCCGTGCAATCCACGCAACGTGAAATCATGTCGGGATCCTATCGACGCCGCATCTGATGCCGAGACACAGGCCACGGGTGGAAAAGTCAGCACCTCGCGGGCCAACAGACTTTCTGTTAGAACCGGCTTGAGCACGACGTCTCCAAACACATGAAGATATTCCGCTCGCAACGCTAGCTGCACCTGAATGCCACCTCCTGCTGCCAAAGTAGAGGAAGAGTCGCATGTGTCTCCACCAAAACCAATCACCGACGCAAGGAAAGACACAAGAGCAGGAGCTTTGGTGTAGAACAGCACCGCTGATACCACGAACAGCGGCCCGGTACCAGCTTGTCGTGCACGAAACAGTGACATTAGCACTTGCTGAGAGATAGAGACAGCAACGACAGTGTGCTCGTCACGCTGACCTGGCGCCTTGCTCAACGAGGGAGCGAGCGGATACCACAATAGCACCACAACGATAAATGCCAGACTTATCGAGCGCGACGATAAGGACGGTGCAAGTGCGTCAAGGCTCCGCAGAATTCGAATACGATCGGACTCCGTCAACGGAAAACTGCCAAGCACTTGAAGTCCAACACACACAGCCAGAGCTGCCGTCAATATGTACGGCATCACGCTTAGGCTGCGACTATCAAGCGTGTCTAACAGCACATCCCACATTTTTTTCAAGTTCGCGACCGCATGCTGTTGAAACTCGCTCGTTCCTGCTACAGCCTCTCGACATGCAAGCTGCACATACGTCCACACGGCCGACCCCGGCGCACCGTCTCTTTTCATCCACTGGCACATGAACACAAGCATATCCTCTCGACTTGAACATGATGTCAGCAGCTCAAACGCCATGTCTACACAATGTAGCGACATTGGCTGCTGACTCAGCTTTTCGCACAGCTTTGCAGCATATAGCGGCGCCAACTTGGCTAGCTTCATACACGCATGCTGCGCATTTTTCAGCACGAACGGCACCACCTTCAGTGCGTCTTGCTCCTGCTGTACTAATGCCTTGTTTTTAGTCGTCGTCTCCACCACGACTGTCACTACAGCATCCATGAGTGTCTCAACACAGGAAGGGTCGTTGACCGCCAGTCTCGAAAGCATCACGGGGCCCACCGGCACGTTCAATGCCTTGCGAGCGACTGAAAGAGCACCTAATGGACAAGCAGCAGATTGTTGCAGTGTTTGCAACTTAGGACTAGCCAGTGCCTGTACTACGATCGTCGTCACTTCATCCTGGTAAATCTCGTTCAAAAAGAGCTCGCTGGAGTCCAAACTCCCAGGCGCTGCGAGCAGCCACTCGCACAGCACAATCATGACTCGATCAACTGCCGATCCGCTCTCAAAGCGGCGAAACGCGGGCTGTGGGTCAGAAGATATGGCCGCCTGGAGCTTACAAGGGGTCAGATCGATGAACACTTGGGCATACTGGCGCCATTTCGACGCGTTTTCAACGTGAAGAAGCGTGGCGTCCAATGCCGTAGACTTGGGTATTGACTTCATTGTCGCGGCTGCACGTCGTGAGCTCTGGAGACGAGTTAAAAGCGGCAACACAGGAGTCAAGAGGGTGTCGAGAGCTTCATTTGAGCCAGCAGTAGCGCTGGCAACAGAAAGAGACGCGAAGTCTCCACTGGTCACGATGGAGAGGAGATGCGGGGGAAGAGAATCAGTAGGAGAGAGGGCACAGGAGGGCAGCGCTGGAGCAGGCGTGGCCATCGCGACGTCGCCGTCCAGGTCTTCGCTCATGGCTGTGCAGTCGAATATGAGGCGCGATAAATCGTCCTTATTTTAAGATTGTGACCTCGGAATTGTGACGTAAAATAAAGGGAATAGTGATGTGCACAGTGGCACATTAAGGGTACGTTACGACCCGCATCGTGTGATAATGTACACCCACTTATTGCAAGCGTAACGTGAGCTTTTAATTTTTTTAATGCACACGACCAGACTCAAATGGTTTTGTCCAATGCTTTAGGCAAGAAAAAAAGGAGGTGTTTTGATCGAGTAAATTAACAGCTGTGCGTAATAACGCTCATCCTTCAATAATTTATGACCCTTCAAGAATGGATAAAGGCTGCTCAAAACATTCACTGTCTGGCCTGCGTATATCACAAATAAGATGATGCACCGCCGGCAATGCAACGATACAGCTCTTGAAGACGCCATTCGGGTGAGCAACGGTAAGCGTGCAACCATCGTATCCTGTAAACACGTGTGCCATTGTACACTCGTTACAAGTACGTAAAAGTCAAGTGGAGCAATGTGCGGGTCGCCCCTGTGCGACGTGGCTCCACTTTAATCCTAACTGGAGACGGCAAATAGTGCAACGGGGCATTCTTTGTTTGGGGTGCCGCGATACTTCACGTACACTAGTACATGCAGAGGAAGCTAATCTACTCGAACAGATTGTTTGAGTAAAGGGTAAAAAGAGAACTGTACTTAACAGACGAGGGAGATGTACGGTCATCTCGGCGTAGTAACGCGAGTACTTGTGCAAGTACGCTGCCCAGCCAAGGAACTTTCGGAGTCCCTTGACGTCGACTGGCACAGGCCATTCGCTAATCGCCTTGATCTTTCCGGATCAGGGCGTACACCGTTTTTACCCACGATGCAGCCAAGAAGTAATATTTCGCTCGCTGCGAATATACACTTCTTGAGGTTCGCGAACAACTTATGCTCTCGCATTAGTGTAAGAACCTTCCGGACGTGGATTCTATGAACCTTCACGTCCGTCTTTCCATCCGTAGCCCGGCTATGGACGAAGATATCGTCAAAGTAGCTCGGTGCGAAATTCTCGCACTGATCGCAACAGATTCATAACACATCTGTTGAACGTTGCAGGGGCGTTACTTAGCCTCTGTGGAATCACTAGCCACTCCCAGAGCATACCTGCTAGGAGTGCTAACTGCTGTGTACGGGATGTCCCGTTCACGCATGAGCATCCGATAGAATCCATCCATCAGATCCATGGACGAGAAGATGGTACTTTTGCCATACCATTAACGATGACATCCTTTCTTGGGATCGGCGTTTGAGCCGGTACCGTTGCAGCGTTCGATTTGTTGAACGCTGCACTATCCGCCACTCTCCTGTGGCCTTTCGCATACAGAAGGTCGGAGAGCTGTGTGGGAATTTTGATTCCCTCACATGACCAGCCGCCTAGCGGTCTGCAAAGAATTTGTCGATTTCTGTGACCTGTTCACGAGGCAGTGTCCACTGCTTCATTACACAGTTCTTCGAACCGGGTTTCAGTTCGATATCATGCCGAGTGCCTTTGTCATTTGGGCAGCTCGCATTGCACGGATTCGGGGAAAACATCCCTGAATTCAACCAAATCCTCATACAAAAGATTTGTCTTCAAAGACTCCCAAGATTGAGACGTGTATCGCTCAATCCGGGCCTACTCATCGAGGACACTCTCGTCCATCAATGAGCTACCGGGAACCCGTTCGTTCTCAGCAAACACTTATGCCGACCGAATATCGGCGACGTACTCGTCCTCTGTGACGAGTACGCAGATCTGCTTGATTTTGTCACTACGAAGATATCGCGAGAATCTTTTAGATTCTAGCGTTGGAAACTTGATTGCCTACAAAGCTGACTTCGGGGCCGTAACCAGATCAAGTGTATAAGCGCCTACACTTGATCCGTCATTCACCAAGACATTCACTGACTCGGTGATTTCCTGGGAAAACACATCCGCAGGTGGTTGGGGATCCACACCCTCAACATAACTCTCTCGGGAGTTATCACTCTCAGGAACGATAAATTTTTTTCCATTACTTGTACTGACTGTGAGTGTAGTGCCACAGTCACGTCCTCTTCGATCGGCTCTCATTTAGTCGATCGGGCTTGCTCTACGATCGACTCTCTGATAGTCTATTTCGCTTCAACGTGTTGTTCATCCTGAACAGCATTAATCTCTCTTCTTGGATGCACCCTTCTTGGTGTGCATCCGTGTTCCAGTCCACGCAATCTCTTCGAGTGGTGAACCTTCGGCGCAGCCTGTGTCTCTACACAGGTTCCGGTAGCTGGTTCCACAGTGCAGTGGCCTTCTACACTGTGATCTTGTGCAATCATACTAACGACCGTACCACAACTGAGGCCATCGCACTCACTCGTAGTACATCAACACGCTTGTGGACGCTTCAAGACGTTCATCAGATGGCCATCTGATGAACAAACGGCAGGCATCTTCACGGATCGATGCTGCCAGATGATCCATGGCTCGTACCTTGTGAGCCATGGCAGACCGAGGATGACATCAAATCTGTTATCCAAATCCATCACGATGAAGTCGTCATCGTACTCCTTTCCTTCTAGCGTGTAGTGGATTCCTACTACACGTTTGTTCACTGTTACGGATTAGCCTGTAGCAAGGCACACCGTCATCCTCGTTGGAGGGAACTCTCGCTCAACATAGTTGGGTCTACTATCTTTTAACGACTGGCGTCGAACTAAACTGTTCGACGCCCCACAGTCAACTAGGGCGCGAAGTGACATTCCACTTGTCACTTCGATCTTCAAAGTGATGAGTGACACCTCATAACTAGGTGCAGTAACACGCAGAGACTGTGGGTCGGGAGCACTCGTCGTCAAGGGTCCTGCAAATTCTCTTGACGTTGCTGGATCAGCAGGGTGCTCCGCCCCTACTACCCAGTCCGTTTTTTGGCGGTCCGACTTGCTGTCGATGCTTAGCGATATGGTCGGACCCGCGCCTTGGTCTATTCCTTGGCCAACGGCGGTCACCAAGTCCTTTCTTTGGACGTGATGCGGTGCTTGGGACACTACACTCATGAGCGTAGTATCCAATCTTCTTACAGCGATGGCATCTTGCCGTTCGCTTGTGACTCAGAGAGCGAGTGTTCTCGATTTCGATGTAACAGAGGTCCTTTGGTTCGGGACCTCCGGTTTCCAGTCGTCTCTTCGGACGATAGTTTGACGAGTTAGCCTGAGACTGCCCCAGGCTGAAGTTTTTTTGTTCCGCATACGCTATAGTCTTTTACAGCGTGTGGAAGTCCTCTCGAAACATGTAGGTCTTCACCGGCCCATCTACAAGGCCGTAGATGAACACATTGATGAGCGTGTGCTCATCAAAAGGGTTTTCCGTAATGCTACTCGCAAGGTAGCGGGGGCGTTTTGCGTAAGCGTGCACGTCACGCTTACCTTGCTTGAGCCTCAAGAGTCCAGAGCGTGCTCTGAACTCGGCTCTTGGCGGCTCAAAAGTTTCTTTGAGTCGAGACTTCAAGATCTCCAACGACTCAAACACGTTTAGGTCGTGAAGCTTAAGCCCTAAGATCAAAGCCTTTGCGCGTCCTATCAAATTTGATAGGGAGAAGGTGACTTGCATCTCGCCACCCTCGATGTGACGGGCCCTGATGGCGTCGTCTAACTCGACGAACCATCTCTATAGGGAATCTTCATCGGTTCCCTTGTACCTTGAGATATCAATCTTCAAGGTTTCGGGTTGACGCATGTGCGATGGCCCGCCCATCGACTGATGAGAGCCTTGCTGCTGTATCAAGGCTATCTTCTGTCTTTCGACAGCAAGTTCCCCTTGTAGGAACTTGTTGACAGCAGCATGTTGCTGGTCTCTGCTTAGGGACTCTAACATACCACTGATGGCGGGTTCGCCCTTGAGCAAACTCATACGGCCGACTGTCTCCCATTCCGAGTCACTCATATGGGAGTAGCATTCACGTATGACATGAGAGCTGTCTTCTTCTACGTCCAACATGTTCATGTTGAACGGACACTAAGTAGTCGTTGGACGGACTACGAAGTGCTACCATGTGTAATGGTGCACCCTTTGTTTGGGGTGCCGCAAAACTTCACGTACACTAGTACGTGTAGAAAAGGTAATCTACTCGAACAGATCGTTTGAGTAAAAGGTATAAAGAGAACTGTATTTAATATAGTCGGTCTATCAATATAACTTCAGTCGTTATCTAACTGTGTTAATCTACATTGTCGTATGACGACAACTGCTCACCACTCACTACGCGCGTCTTGCGGCGATTGGTGGTAACCTTAGTTCATAGGTCTTTATCAACCTTTCTTTGAGCAGCCCATGAATATTATCCTAAAGGGGATTATATTTCTTCCTTTAATACTATCCATCTCGGATAATATTGGCAGGGAATTGTCACGCTAGAAAAACTTCCTATTGACACCGTGTGGTGTCAATATCATGTAACGAGCTACCCCGTTACAGTGCAGGACGGGCAAAGCAAAAAAGCCGAAAAGTATTTGTACTTTCAGGCAACAATGTCAGTGTAATTATGGTGCATGCAAAGTCACACGAACTGGCGTACGCGCCACCCTCGCTAGCACCACAATACCGCCATAGCGATACCGCTACCGGAAGCCTTCTGGAATGTTGATCACAGTTGTGCTCAGCAGGGGCGTCGTCTGAGAGCATTGCAAAACTACAGGTATGTTTACAGTACAAATTAAAGTCATGCAGTGATAAAAAGAAAAACATTACACAACGATGAGGTGTTGATGCTGAAACATCGGCTTAAATTTCGTGATATGAGTACGACATCCTTTACTCCTCCGCGTCACCCGTTGCAGGTAAACGACGAGCACAAAAAGTGCTGTAAAAGAAAAAACGACACTTTGTAAACGCGGCCTCTTTATCGGTCATCTTCTTGATAAATCTAGCCGGTCTTTTTCAGTTGTTCTTGCTTTTCTTGACCAATAATCAAGCATCCTGATCGAGAGCTGACGTGTATGCGTTGTTCACGTCGACGATATCTTGATATACAACGATGATGCTATATGGATGCTAACAACATTTACATAGGACACGATCTGTTTGTAGATAAGAAAATGAGTCAACACACCCTCTTGCTTCCAGTAAAGATTTGACTACACAACTGCATCGTTGGTAGAACTTTCACACTTAAGAGTGTTATGCATAGCAAGGACATGTTCACACATAACACTGTAGCTCGTGTACTGAGCGCAAGATACATCTGCACTAAATTACATGCCACGCTGTCACACAGCGACCAACTGTGTAGAGAAATACGAAGCAAGTCTTTCTTACGAAATCAGCGAACCTTGGCATCGACACTGACATTAGCTGCTGATTAACAGGAGCTCAAGTACTTCAAGACGTATTTTTGATTGTTGAGTGTCCACTACATACGTAGCACAAGCACCGAACTTTACAGCTTGCAATTCTCATGATTGAGGGGGGGAAGTGACTTTCAGCATTCGACACATTCCGCTTCTCCGTCACACACGCCAAGTTGACTCGTTAAATTGTCTAAAGTGCTGAGACTTGCAAAAGTTGATAACTAGTACGAACGTATGTTTTGGCCGCATGGCAATATAAAGATTATTGGGACCCAGCCGAAATTTACGACGAAATGGCTGCTGTGACGGTTCCAATCCCGAAAATGTGTTTGGTACATCACATCCACATCGTGTACAGCTGGTGTGCCTAGCGCTCCCGCAACATCCTCTGCCCATTATTGTTTGCTGCCCATTATTATTCGCTGCCCATTATTGCAGTGTGAGATACAAAGATTGATGTCGTCGGAGGCTGTGGACGAGGAGATGGCGTTCATCGATGCAGCACCCGCAGACGACATCGTAAGTGCTAGCGATGGCTCGAGCCAAAATGCAGAGCAAGAGGTGGAAAGCTCGCAAGGCAGCGAGAACTGTGAGCGCAATAGGGAAGAGGAGGATGTCCAGGTGGGAGCAGCTGAGACACCGGAGCAAGGAAACGTGGAGAAGATTGAATCGGTAGAGGGATGTGATGGAGGAGACAATGTGATGAGTGAGAGGAATGAAGACGACGATGTGGCGATGGAGGAGGAAGCCACAGAGTCGGTCGTTGTCGTTGAAAGCGAGGAGAAATTGTCGCCTGAAGTCGTGGATGAGAGACTGATCGATGCAGAAAAAGAGGAACGAGGTGGAGAAGAGACTGCAGATGGCGAGTTGACTGCTGAATGTCTTGTAGCAAATGGGACGGCTATGGAGGATGTTATGGAGGTGGAAGCGATTGTTGGGACTGTGCAGGAAGCAACAAGTGAAAGTTACGATGCTGCTTCACCTGAAGGAGCAGGTGTAAGAACTGAAGCGAGTAGCGATAATGATGTTGTGGCGGAGAAGCCTACCACTGCTGAGGTTGCTGCTGTTGCTGCGGCTGTTGAAGGTGCGGTTCCAAGAAATGAAGCGAGTAGCGACGTGACGACGGAGCCTTCTACTACTGATGCTGCTGCTGTTGTCGCTGATCTTGAAGGAGCGTTTCCAAGAACGGAAGTGAGTAGCGACGTGGCAGCGAAGCCTACTACCGCTGAGGTTGCTGTTGCTGCTGTTGCTGCTTGTGAAGGGCCAAAGGCCCTTGTTACGGTGATTGGCAGCGATACCGCATGTTCTGAGAATACAGAAAGTCGAGAGCTGGATAATGCTGATGTTCAGGATTCGAGTACAATGGCCAAGACCGAACGTGATGATCAATTGCATGCATTGACGTCGGATCCTGTCAATGGTGATGATCAAGTAGCGGAACTAGTGGAGCCGGCTGCGAAGAAGCAGAAAGTAAACGAACCAGTTGGGACGGATAGCGATATAGTCACTCTCGATGCTTCCACGGCTACTGTCAATGGTTGCAATGACACTTCCCCCACTGCAGCGATTTCCCGTGATGACATGGCTAAGATGGAAGAAGACAGCGGACGACTCAAGTTTGATGTGATCACAAACGATGGCACGGACGAGCACATGATCCAGCTTACGACGCTGAAGAACATTTTTGCAAAGCAACTTCCCAAGATGCCAAAAGAGTACATCGTCCGACTGGTTTTTGATCGGAACCACCGATCAATGCTCATCCTAAAGAATGGTACTCACGTGATTGGCGGTATCTGCTACAGGCCGTTCGAGAAAAATGGGTTTGCAGAGATCGCGTTTTGTGCGATCAATGCCTCGGACCAAGTAAAGGGATATGGTACTCGGCTGATGAACCACCTGAAGGAGTACGTAAAGACCAAGAACATCACGCACTTTCTGACGTACGCTGACAACTATGCCATCGGGTACTTCAAGAAGCAAGGTTTTACAAAGAGTGTGTCCATGGCTCGGCCTAACTGGTACGGCTACATCAAAGACTACGACGGCGGAACTCTAATGGAATGCACGATCCACACGCAGATCAATTATTTGCGAATCACGTCGATGATTCACAAGCAACGCAAGGTACTTCAGCTCATATTGGTGCATCTCGAGCGTACTAGAGATTCGCTAACCTTCATGGCTGGCCTTGTGCAGGCAATCCGAGACAAGCTCGAGGAGCGTTCTTGCTCAAAGAGGGTCTACCCTGGCCTGACCCAGTTTGCGGAGGGCAGATTAATGGACATTTACATGGTTCCTGGTGTTAGTAAGTGCTGTGGTTGACCACGATGCGGTGCGTAGATGCTCGTGTTCGCCGTAATGCTGACAACTTTTGGAACGTAACTTTGTCACCACAGAGGAAGCAGGGTGGTCGCAGGCAGTGATCCGTAACAATCGCATCGGGTGCGTCGTTGTCATTCGAATTCGGCTGACGGTATTGCTGATGTCGTTGCTCGTACTGGTGGTTACAGAACTCGCGACCAAGGTAGTTTAAAGTCGCAGCTCTTGCAGTTGTTGAAGGCAGTATTCAATCATCGGAGCGCATGGCCTTTTCACGAGCCAGTCGACACTGCAGTTGTAGTGGACTACCTGGACCATATCAAGGAGCCCGTGGACCTCCAGCTGATCAACAAACGCATTGATAGTGGATCTTACATGTCCAAGGCTGCGTTCAAGGCAGATCTGGACAGGATGTGCGAGAATTGCTTGATCTACAACACGCCCGACACGAATTACTACAAGTACGTCCGCTGAAATTCTCACGCAAGTAAGTGCTCGTTTACCAGTATATCTCACACGTCTCTTCTTTCTGCTACCAGGGCGGCATTAGACCTTCGAGAGTTTATCCATTCTCGAATCCAGATCAGAGACCACAAGAAGCCCTAGTCAAACAAGTTGAACCATACAAAAACGTTTTGCGCCCTTTCTTTTGCCAAGAATAAGCCCGGCGGTCGATAAAAAGCATTTCGTTCCCGCCACATGGTCGCTGGTCTCACATGTAGAAATCGCTTTGTTTCTCCGTGACAAAAAAATAAAACCTCAAGCCCACGACCAAAATTTGTACGACGAAAACCTTACGTTGCTGTACCGCGCCCGCACGCAAGCCGACTTCGTACCGGTATTGACGACAAAACACATGGCGTCCCCGATCAACGTCGACGATATCGACCTCGACGAGCTGGACGACTGGCTCGAGCTGTTCCAGCAGGACAGCGCCCTCCACGAGGCGCTCTCACAGGGGAAAGATCTGCGCACTTATGCGCAAGAGGTCGAGGACGAGTTCCGCATGGCTGAGGCCGCGTCCATTGCGCACTACGTGGTCAAAGCTGCTGACGTGGTCGAGCTGCACGACGAGGTGCAGCGTTGCGACAATCTATTGGCTAAAATGCAGGAAATGCTCTTAGGGTTTCAAGTCGATCTGGGCGGAATCAGCGACGAAATTCGGCAGTTACAGGACGAATCCATGGACATGAACGTGAAGCTCACGAACCGTCAAGAGACCGAGGAGAAGCTGCAGCTGTATCTGGACCAAGTTGCACTCTCGCCGTCTCTTATCAAGACCATTCATGAAGAAGAAGTGAACGAGGTGTTTCTCCATGCACTCGTGACGCTCAATGGAAAGCTCCGCTACGTCGCACAGCAGACGCCTGTGTTTGCCTGTGGCTCCAGGTCGGAGCTGCTGCCGTCCCAGACAGCAGCGTTTTCGGACGTTGAAGCTCAATTGACACAGCTGAAAACGCGAGCAGTTGCTCGTGCACGCGAGTTTCTAGTTGCCAAGGTGAACGAGGTGAAGAAACCCAAGACAAATGTCCAGATGGTCCAACAGAACACGCTGTTGCCCTTGAAATATCTCGTCACGTTCTTGACGGAGAACGCGCCAGAAGTGCAGGAGAGCTTTCGAGCTGTGTATGCTGAAGTCATGAGCAAGACACTCGTGAATGTGTTCCGGTCGTATCACTCAGGGTTATTGAAGCTGCATAAAGAGGTGGCATCGCGCACGGATGTTATTGTTATTGATGAACAGGCGCTGAAGGGTATGTTTAGCTCACGCGTGAACTTGAGCAAACGGAACGATACGTTTTCGGTAACCGAGCGCCAAAAGATCTTAGACGCGGTGTCGACGCCTCCGCTGATCCTGCACGTGGCGCAACAAGAGGGAGTGAAGTTGCCATACGAGGCTATTTTTCGCAACATGCAACAGCATTTGATGGACTCCGCGACATCGGAGTATCTTTTTCTTATCGAGTTTTTCACGCCGAGTCATCAACAGGATGTTGCCTTTCGCAGTCGGGACTTGTTCATGCAAGTGTTTGCAAAGACACTGTCGTTGTGCCTCGAGAACATCGAAAACTACCTTGTCACGTGCTACGATGCTATTGGACTCCTACTCATGATCCATCTTACAAACTCTCAGCGGCTGGTGATGGAAAAGCGTCGAATGCCGTGTTTGGATGCATACTTCGATCGGGTCGCATTGCTGCTTTGGCCGCGGTTCAAGGCAATATTTGACCTCAATTTGATGAGCGTGAAGAACGCCAAGGTGAAAAAGTTGGGACCAGTGGACCTGCACGCTCACTTCACCATTCGGCGATATGCCGAGTTTGCGTCCTCGATTCTGAGCTTAAGTATGAACACGCAGCAAAGTTATGTGTCGACGGGTGGAGAGGATTCATCGGCAGGTTCTAGTGCACACTTGTACGAAAATGGTGCAGGTGACATGGCTCTCAGTAATTTGATTGTGATGCGTGACGAGATCATTCGTTTGCTCTCCCGCTTGTCCGAGCAGCACACGACAGCGAAGGACAAATGCGTGTTTCTCATCAACAACTACGACTTCGTGCTAACTCATTTTGAAAAGCGGCTTGTCACCTCTGAGGAGACGTCGAAGTTCGAGGAGCTGCTTGCCGCGCAGCGCGAACAGTTTGTCGAGGAGGAGCTTACAACTCATTACGCAAAGCTTATCCAGTTTGTGCGACAGAGCGAGCAATCGACACTAGGCAAAGACGCCGCGTCGGTAAAAGGAGGTAGCCAGCGAGTTGAAGCAGTGGAGATTGAAAAAATTGTGCACGAGTTTGCGGTGACATGGAAGGCTGGGATTGAGAAGATGAACAGCAGCGTAATGACGTACTTTTCCAACTTCCGCAATGGCATGGAGATTCTTAAACAAGTCCTTACGCAGTTGTTGCTTTACTACACGCGGTTTGTGGAAACCGTCAAGCGACGCTACAAGCAGCCTCCCCCGTTCAACTCGGAAATCGTCTCAACGCAAGAGATTCTGTACGAGATCAAGAAGTATAGCCGGTCATTTTAGCTTACAACTGCATAGCGCCAGAATGGCGAGGCAGGAATGAGTACAGTCGTTACTTTCCCAACAACAGTCCACAGAAATCGCATATGAAATCGCGTAGCAAAGACTAGCCTCGAGGTCTTGGCCTATGAGCCCACCATGATTGGAGTTGGACCGATGTTGTATCCAAGCACGAGTACAATGAGCCCGTAGCCTAGAGTGACAATCAACGCCATCGTTACGAGCGAGAACGCCACTCCAACGCGAAGAAAATCCTTTACTTCCAGGTATGGCTGACCGTGGTCGTCCAGAACCAGCAGTGAATTGATGTTCGGAAACGACGAGAACGGGAGCGCCATGGCTGTCGTCATGAATATGGTCACACAGAACTAGTGTTAGCGCGCGTAAAGGTGAATACAAATAGCAAATTCGCTCCTTACCAGCAGATATCGCCAGCGCACAGCAGACCACAGGAATGTGTGGGTGCCCGATCTGGATTGCCATGTCGACAATGATTGGCAGAAGGATGATTGAAGCGACCGTATGCGAGACGAAAGTAGTCAGGCAAACCACCAGGCCGCACAAAGAGACCGTGACCACCCAGACGTTTCCAGACGGCAGCGCGTGGATGACCGACTTGCTCAACGTGTCAAGAAGTCCTGATCGGTGGACGGCCTGGACGTGGCAACAAGTGTTCAGACGTTCGGCACTAGATGACATCGGTCAGTATCATACCAAGTAAACTTACATCTCCCAGCACGTTGCCACCACCAATGAGGAAAAGAATGTGCCATGAAAACGAATTAAAGTCGAATTGACTCAGCATTCCCGTGCCGAACATGACAAACTGTGGAATGCAACTCTTCAATCAGCAACACTTTGCCATAACCGAGTTAGAAGAACTTACCATGAACATCAGTGAGATAATGCCCAAGTCGCCGAATGTTGCACTCGTCACCGAGAACGACGCCCACAAGAAAATGGTAAGAAGCGTCATTGAAACGACGACAACATGGAGACTGCTGATCTGTTGCTTTTGGTCGTAGACGATCTGCGGGATGTATGTGGCATCCCGAGGGTCCATCACTCGTAGCAAAAACAACCAGCACTATCCCACATTCACAGTACACAACCGGTCGTTAAAACTAACTAGAAAGTGACAAGTAAAGCGCTACGTCACTTACCATAATCGTGCCGACGGTGCAAAATGGGACTGCAATTGCCATCCATTGACCAAACGTAATGGTGTATCCAGCCTTCTCCAGAAACGACACTGCCAGAGTATTTTGCAGTGAAGAAATTGGGGTCATCATGCCACCGAGGTTGCACGCAAAAGCTAAGCCGATTAGAAGCGTCTTCACATAAACGCTGTTCGTCGGAAAGTCTCTGATGATCGGAAGTAGAACCTGGAACAAAAAGTCGTAGCCGTACAAATGAAAGACATCATCGATTGGTTTTATAAGCGGTTAGACACAAGCAAGAAAGCCCATGTGCAACAAGTCACTGGAGTACGTACCGATACACACAGCACTGGGGCAGTGTGGTTGCTAATCCACATCGATAAAAACAGTCCCATGAGCATGATTGCGAGCAAGAACAAGTTTGGACTTTTCTTGAATCGACGTTGCAAGAAGGCGGCAATGTAGAGCTCGATCTGGCATTTCGCGAATGCTGCTGAAATCGAGTAACTGCAACGACTCATCATAGTCAGTGTCCCACATCACTCGTGCACTCATCATATCACACCCAACACTACATCACGCACCCGCCCATAATCAGTATGGTTGTGTGGTTGACGAGCATCGACATCACCTCCTTAGCAGATTGTCCTGAAGTTGCAATAAGGCAACATGACAGACAAGACGTTAGCATCAGTTGATGTCGCACTCAACACGAGCCACTCTTAAAGCCCGTACGAGCTGTGAGCAGCGTGTCAGGGTCTGCCTTATCGTTCAGAATTTGCAAGAACACCACAAGTGGCGGAACGAGGAGTGCTGTAGCAAAGTACGGAAGTGCCTCCGTCACCCATAGCATCGTAATGAAGACGAGCATTGCCAGACACCGTTGCTGCACTTCCTCCCCTACAGTAGCAATGAGAAGCATTAGCACACTTGAATTGAACGAAAACATTCTCTTGCAGTCATCAAACATGTGCCCGTACCTTTCGGGGTGATACGAATGAGCAGGAGAAGCACAAAAACTGCCACCGAAATACAAAAGGGGACGAGTTTGACCTGATTAAAGTCACGTGGCCAATCGAGCTCAGCATAAATTTTAGACAAGATTTCGATCAACACATTTGACGCCGCCTTAATTCTCAAAACTCATCGCACCTTGCGAAACAGCGAGTTTTGATCGCCCTGCATTCGCTGCATACGGCGCTCCATATTTCCCGCCTCCAGCTTATCCCTGCAAAGGATCACTTTACATCGTCAGAAAAACTGCTTCAGGGACACCTGACTACGAGCACAACTAGCGAGACGCACTTTGATGTAAGTCTAGCCACGCGTTCTAGTAGCTTGTCAATGTCAGTGGACGCATAGAAGCGTTCGTTGGCCAGTCGATCCATGAACGCTTCCTGCGTGTGTGACTTCATCGTCTTGTCAAACTGTGAGCGCGCCGGCAACCACAAAGCCAAAAGAATCCATCATCAGAAACAGCAAAGCAAATTGATCTAGAAAGTATCAACCGACGCAGCAATTTCTTGGTTGCTCGACCGCACCTTCTTGACAATCTTCCGAAACCCTGAGTGGTTGATCTGCACGAACGTACGCAAATCCACCAGCTTGTCATAGATCTCCTGCAACGCCGCGAAGCCACGGTCTGCTGGCCACAACAAGCAGCAAGAAAAACAGAAAACAGCAGACAACACCCCATCAGCCACAAGAAAGAAGAAGACCTCGCTCTTCTAAAGAGCTTCCACCACCACCACAACAACAGCAACACCAAAAAAAAGAGACAAGAACGAGTCCCATCACGCACCCTGCGAGTGCGTGCGCGTGCGCGTGTGCACGTGTCCTGTCGACCTCTTTTCGTCTTCAATCAGGGCCTCAAAATCCCCAATCGATCGCGTCAACGTCTTGATCTTGGCCACGAAAAAGTCATTGACAATCTTGAGGTTGGCATCCAACACCTCCCAAAACTGATCCTTGGCGTCCTGCACTTCGCCCCCCACCGTCTGAAGCAGCGGGTGCGTCTCGTCCACAAGCACGTGAAGCGGCACGTCACCCGTGCTGCTGCTGCAGCCGCTGAGCTCCATTTTGAGCTGCAGCTTCTTCTGCGCGTTCTGCTGCTTCTCCAGTTCAAAGGCCACGCGCTTGATCAGGCGCTTCAGCCGCTTGTACTGCACGTAGTTGTCGCGCCATTCCGGATTCGCTGAGATCTCGAGCTGCTTGCCAAACTTCATGTCCCAAGGGCGATCGAAGGAGACAGAGCGTGACCGACGGAGTGGAACAAAAAAAGTGACTCAGAGGTTGACACGCAAAAACCACGGAGCTGCTCGACGAGGAAGTGGCAACTGGATACCTGTAGCAGTTTATAAACGAGATCGTCACAAAATCCACTGTGGGCGGGATAAAATCCGCTGTGGATAATATCAGAGCAGCAACTGCGCAACGTCCACTCGCAACATCATCTCAGTGACTTCCTGGACGTCCAAAACCTTCACCTGGACATCAGAGTGTACCGTCATTGTACCACATGAGTCCACGGCCCAACCGACATTGCTTACGTTGTCCCTGTCGTGGAGCGCTGGACTGGAACAACTTTCGCGTCCCCTTGGTGCAACACGACGCCGCACCACACCACACTACGCAAGACTCGACAAAACAACATGGCGTTCCGTCGGGACGTGCCGGCGCTGGACGAGATGGTGCTCAAGTTCATCTCCAAGTCTCCGCGCCAACTAAACGTGATCATCAACGACCAGACGCTAGCACGTGCGCATCGCATCGGAAAGCCAGCCAAGTCGCGCACGCACAAGATCAAGCAGGAGGTCATCCGCGCGCTGCTCATTGGCGGGCGACTGAGTGACGACACGCTGCCTGCGAGTTTCTTCCACCCGAGCATGACGCGCGTGGAGATCATTGGCACCAAGATATCGAACGTCTTTGTGGAGATGGTACCGATGCACCATATGGTTGGACGGATCAGTTTGATCGATGAGTTGGCTCGTTGACTGACGGCCTTGGTGCTGTTTACTGTGGGGTGCTGTTGTTACTTTTCTGGGTGTTTGCTTGAGGTGGTAGTTGTCGGGAATATGTCCAAAGCTGCACGCGGTGAACTTCTCGGGGTGTTTTCGACTGACCGACGAGGCGATTGAGACGTTACTGAAGAATTGTCCGGGTGGGGTTTCTCTGTGGATGAGCGACTATTGATTGCAGTTGGGGTTGACGGCGCCTTGTATTGTAATGTGTTTGTTTGTTCTTGAGGTCGCTGTAGAAATCAAGGACTTGAATATTGAAAACTGTCGCAAATTAACGGACGCCACGTTGGATCATTTGTGTAAATTTGCTCTGAAACTGCAGGTTCGTGCTGCGTGCAACCAGCTGGTGGTGTGTGTGTGCGGTTTTGACGATGATGACGGAATCGTGTTGCTACTTTTCGTGTTTTGGCGATGGTTGCGCTGTAGAGTTTTGACATTGGCGGCAACTTTAACATGACCATTTCAGGCATTACGAAGCTTATTGAGAAACATCCTAACCATTCGAAACTTACGAAGGTTCACGTTTCCGGCCACCCGGTGACGGACCAGTGCGTTATCGAAGCTGCTATGTAGAGGCTGCAATTGCAAGTCTCATACAGGTTTCTATCTGCTTGTAGAACGATTAAGATCATCATGGCCAAGTGCCGGAAGCTACACAGCTTGAGTGTCGGCTATTGCGCTATCACGGACGACGCTCTGATCACGCTACTGAAGAAGCGCGAATCGGTATCGCGCTTGAGCTTGCACTGGAACGTTGCGATCACGTCAGTTTTCTGCTGTGTACTGCATGTAGACTGCAGAAACAACCTACTGATGCTGTTTTGATGCGCGTTTTCTGATGCAGCGACCAGTTACTGTACTACCTTGGATCAGAAGCCCGAAACTTGCAAGAGCTCAACCTGTGTGGCGTTAAAAGCGTTTCGGCTGACGTAAGTGATTTTGGTGGATAGTTTGCTGTGCTGGTGTTTCATCACGTTCGTACCTGCTGATTGTCTACCTTTTGTTGTGTCAAGTCCATTGTTGCCGCCATCCACGCGAAAATGGGTGCAAGAAACGAGTTGCTCGAGCCGACAGTGTCGCAGTCTACTCCTGACGAGAATCCTGGACCTGAGCGGAAGCGGCTGAAGAGGATTGACTTTCGATACACAGCGTAAGTGGTGTCGTTATCGAGCCGTGGGAATGTAACTGACACAATGTGTGGCTTTGTCCAGTGTCACGAAAGAAGTTGCTGCAGCTGTTAAGGAGCGGTACCCTGAGCTTCAAGTCACGTTTTAGATGAGACGTTATTTTTTACCTTGTAACAAGAAGCATGATTTGTCTCATTTTGTCTCACTTGTTGCACTGTTGTCATTCTCATTTGTTACGAAGAGAGCTGCCAAAACATGGTGCACGCAACATGGAGGTTCACTATCGAGACGAAGATGACAATAGGATAGAAGGCAAACATAGCCAGTGTTGTCATTACCGGCTACATGCTCGTCATCGTTGAAGTTACTGCAGAGGGTGATCGAGACGTAAAGCAAGGCCCATCAGGTCTTCAGCTTTCGCATCAGAGGTTAATGAGCTACTTCGGTGAAGTGTATCGACGGCTACGAGACTTACAATGTTTGTGTTAGAGCGGAGCGCAAACACCAGCAACATCCTACCGTCCTTGCAGTAGCCAGCCAGCGCCGCATTTGATCGAATTGTCCATTGTAATGGTCACATGGCCACAGAATGGGAAATCGCAACGTCACCGCATCGCCTCGTAGTGGATGTTTAGGGATGACACACCTTTTTTGACAGGGCAGCTTCCGGCTGGTGTTTCGTGTGCATACTCTCTTTCATACAAAAAATACGATTGACGCACCGCTGCATCGTGTCCTCCTTCCCGCTCGGAGTTCGCATCGCCACGACACGTCGAAGCCAGACTCCATGGCAACCGTCAAAGTGCGTGCGCGCTTCTGTTTGTGTTTGTGCAAACGCTCTGGAGCTTATGCGTGTTGTACGTCAGCCGACATGGAAGAAGGTTCTCTACGCGCCCCAGCCGTACGAGGACAATCACGTGGACGAGACGTTCCTGGAACAGATGCGGACGAATGGTACGCTCCCTTCTTTTCTTCAAGCAGGAACTTGCTGGTCTCGTCCCCTAGTACAATGATACCCTCGTACCGATTGTACTGTGTCTGTAGCCAATGTGCGCGAGCATGACTACGGGGACATGGTCCGCTCGGCTGCGGCCATCTCCCAGCAGATCTGCGCTCTCTTGATCTTCTTCGTACGTGGTGGCTACTGATTGCGTCCAGAATGACAGAAGCAGATGGACGGATGGTGGACCACCAACGTCGAGGCTCTTACGACTCGTTTGCCAGTCTATGTTTGAGTTCGTTCGTCAAGGAACCATCTCTGCCGTGCTGCTAGGCTGCATCGATGTGTCCCTGGCGGTCGCGGGTTTCTCCGTGCTTCGTGTTCACCTCGTTCTACCGCTGCGTAAGTACACCACTCGTTGACGGATGATCCACGGCCCATCTCGCTGACAGTCACTCGTGCATGAATGAACCGAGGAAGGCACGGTGGACACGCTGAGGTCCTGTCTTCTCTTCTGTGCTACACTGTCACTCGTGTCGCCAGTGCTACGGACGCTTACAAAGTCGTATGCAAACGACACGATCTGGGCGCTGGCAACGTCTTTAGGCTTGCTGCACCTCGTCACGCATGACTACAACTATGTCAACTCGGGCATTGGCCGGTAAAGAGTTCATCACCTGGTCTGCGCAAGTGCAGCTGTTTCCACCAAGGCAGAGAGTGACGCGTTTTGCGTCTTTTGCACGTTGTATGGCAGCTTCAGCGGCACGATCTCGCTGAACGCCGCCATCTTCACGGCGGTGCTGCTCGGCTCGCGGCTACAGTCAAACGAGCACGTGTTTGCGTTCGTGTTGTTGGCCATCGAGATATTCGCCATGTTTCCAATCTTTCAGCGCGAGATCAAGGTACGTCTCTGTACGGCAGAGTACATGCGCGTGGTCGCACCGACCTCGTTCTGCTTGTTTGTGTTTGATATGCGACGAATATGTAGCGCCAGTCGGAGCGGTTGCACGTCATGACGGCGGTCGTGCTGTTCGCACTCTCGTCGGCGCTGACCTGGCAGCTGTCGGAGCTGCTGAGCGTGTTATCAGGTGCCTTTGTGTGCTTCTTGGCCTTCGGGTGTCCGCTCTGGTTCATGCACGTGCAGGAGTCTAAAAAGTACGTAGCTGCTCATTTGCTCGTCCGTCGAGGAGCAGCTGAGACTGACGCTTGATGCCCATCTGACTGATGTCCGTCAACTGTGCTGTGGTTGCAGCGAGATTCTAGGTCCGTGGGATATCGCGCATATCCAGCCAGAGCAGTAGCGACCGCCGAGTCGGTATCATGCACCTTGTCATTCGTAGCAAGCTACCGTCTTCTAGACACTTGGCCAGGCTATGTGTGCACGGAACGGTAACGGCTACGTGTCACTGCGATATTCAAGCAGCCCGTCTACACCGTCTCGTTCGCCGCTTTTTCTTTCGAACCGCCAGCGGTACCGGACGGGGCGACGCTGTAACGCAAAAAGTATCTTTTTGCCCACAACATACCTCTTCGGACGCTACGGCAGCAGGGGCGCGACGTCGAGCACTGCTCGCTGAGCTGTGCTTAGAACGACCTGGTCGCTTCTTCCGCCCTCAGCTGCCGTCGTCGTGGACGCAGGAGACTCGCGCAAGATTAGCACAGCGATGGGCATGACCCTCCCTGCTAATGCACCTCTTGGCCGGGATAGCATCACCGCGATCACGTCTTACAAGCAGTGCCCGAACATGGAATAATCGACGACATAGACTGCACGATCACTAGCCGCAGGAAAGAGCAGGAGGCTGCAATGGACATAGGACGGCGTGACCTTACGCCATTGAGTTGGCTAAGGCGACGCGCCGTCTCGTGCACCTGCCGACTTTTTAGATGCCCATCATGCGCCTTTTCGGGTGCAACAGAACAGTCCTGTGCCGACACTGGAAAAGTGCTTCAGACACCACGAGCGGTCGCGCTAGTAAAAAGGCGGCAGACGGCTCGATGGTGGAAGTTCAAGCTGGAGATTCGCACTTGCCATCGAGCACAAAGTCGCCATTGCGCTGCGGCAGTGGGAACGCCAAGCACACGCGATCAAGCGCTTAGACTCTCGAACGACGGCCATTCCATTTAGGTTCTGTCTCGTCATTTGGCCAATCATAACGCACTCGAGCTGATTTATTTCGTCTGATAGACGGAACTTTCTACGAACCACTTGGCCCGGCCATGGACCGCCTAAATTTGCCTGCGCAAATGCCTGGCCCACACGCCAGACAGCAGATGGTCCGGGGCTATCTATACCACGTGTACATAACTGCGACGGCAGCGATTCACCCCCTCGAGTCGTCTCGGGGACTGCTCTAGACGGTAGCCGACAGTGGCCCGCTCAACGGACTTCACCGTGGCTGAAAACCGCCCTCGAGTCTCATCGTGGCTTTGCTGGACGACGAAAGCAATGACGATGGGACCACGTTTATGTCCCAGCGGGTCAGGTCAGGTCGGGTCGGGTCTCCAACCCGCCCTCTCCTCTCCGTGCGATGACAGACGCTTTGTATGGAGCTTCAACGCCAACGGGTCCAGTGCGGTCAAAACCCAGAAGAACGCTCTCGAGCGCTGCGATTGGTCGAAAGCTTCAAGCACGAGGTCGAAGCAAGCAAGCAAGCAAGTGAGCGAGCGCGAGGTAGCCAAGTTGCCATGACCAAAGGAAAGAAAGATTCGAGCGGCCTGATCATTTCAGCTTTTCCCTGCAGCTGGGCAAGTGCGTTTCCTTTCCTTGTGGCCTCCACTTGACAACAAACAACCCAACCCAACCCACAACAACCCACGAAACCCGTCGTTGTCGTTTGTCGTCCCTCCTTTGTGGCTCCTCCCCCCTCCTCTGTCTGCGATCTTCGCCGTCCCAACGTCAACGCCGTGTCTGTGTGCATTCGACCATCACTCTCTCTCTCGCCCGCTCGTGCCTCGTCATCGTTCTCGAACGCCACGTCTTCCCTCCCTCGTTCCCCCTCTTCCGATCCCATGGCTTCCACCGCGGTCCTCAAGAGCGTGCGAGCGCACCCCAAGCTCCTGTCGCTGCAGCACGTCGACGACGTCTTCCTCCTCTCGTGCACCGGCAACGCGCCCATGACTCCCCTCGGCCACGACGCGTCCCTGTTCACCGCCGCCACCGTCTCCCCCCGCGATCCCGCCGCCAAGCTCGCAGCCGCCGCAGCCGTCGCCCCTCCCGCCTCCATCTCCTCCGCCTCATTCAGCCCCGCTTCCTCCAAGCTGCAGGCGCATCCCGCCTCTGCATTTGCCAGTCACCGCGCGTGCATTTCGTCGTCTGCCTCGAGCGACGACGCGTCCGACGAGGAGCTCGACGACGAGCTCGACGACAGCTCCCGTGCGTCCGGTGGCTCGTCGTCGTCGTCACTCGCCACGTCGTCGGTCAAGAGCAACACCGGCCGCTGGACAGAAGCCGAGCACCAGCTCTTTCTGCAGGGCCTCGAGACCTTTCCCTACCGTGCGTGGAAGAAGATCGCGACGCTCATCAAGACGCGCACGGTCGTGCAGATCCGCACGCACGCGCAAAAGTACTACCAGAAACTGGAGAAGGAAGAGGCGCGTCTAAAGGAGCGCCAAGCGCAGGACCGTGCGGCACTGGCAGCTGGGGCTGATGGCGCCGCGTCTCCGCTTCCTCCTCTGGTGTCGACGCCGCCCAGTCCGGCAGCACAGAAGAAGAAGATGCATTTGATGCGCAAACGCAAGTGCTCGGTGCTGGATATGGACATGGCCAGTGACGCTCTCGTGCTGCCGAGTGTACCCAAACGTCTCGCTCGGGAGCAGCCGCTGGCTGCCCACATGTCTCCCAAGCAGAAGCACTTGTCGTCGCTTTCTGGCTCCAAGCTGCTGCTCGGTGGCCATCCCATGGACGCTCGCTTCGTGTTCAACCGCACCCAAAAGAGCCACCACAGTGGCATACAAGCATCGCACCAGCTGCCGCTGGACTTTGCTGACGCTGCAGCCGAAGCCATGATCTTGGAGTTTGCCGAAGACAAAGTGCTGGCTGATTACTCGCTCGACTGTGTGGACCAGACGCTGGCGTCGATTGACAATGACGATTTGCTGCAATTGACCGAGGAAGAGCTCGAATGGTTCTCGACAACGAGCACAGAGAGCAACTCGGTGAGTGGTGACGTTTTGTCGGAAGGAGCTGCTGTGGACATGGTCAGTGCCGAGTGCTGTGGAACAGCGAGTGATCCGGCTGCTCTGGACTGTGAGAACTTTGCTGCCGACTTGTGTCTCGACGACGAGGATTTTGTGCTGGACCCGGAGAAGTTTTTATCGAGCTACTTTGCTCCGACCGAGCAGGCTTGAAATGGGAAGGGCGACGTCGTGGTGGTCACAAGTGCTGCAGCTTCCTCGAAGAGCGCCGTCCCGTTTGTCCGTCCGTCCGTAGTGTAGCTTGATCTTCTTGCGAGCGTGTCCTCCTCCCCCTCTGCTGCCAGCTCTTCGGTGCGTTGGCTGCTAAAGTCGTCGTTGGAGAAGGAATCCCTTATTATTATTATTATTCCAAACAAGCTTGCCCTCTCGTGTACGTTCGGCATTGACTCTGTCGTTGTTCGTCCTAACCTAGGCTTGATGTGTCCTCCAGGCTGACGCTTCCCGAGTCGTCTCGTCTTCCCAGCCATCGTATCACATATCGCTGATTTCAAAGAGCAGGACACTCCGGTCGTGGTGAACGACGGCTAATTTCACGGGAACTTGCCCGCACGTCAATGAGGAGCTGCCACTACTCGACCCGCAATCGCGAGCTTTGCTGCGTTGAAGAAGTTGTCGAAAACTGCGTTGGCTGGGAGCGATGTCCCAATAGCGACACACGGCCACGCGGAAGACTAGCCCCAACTTCTTCCTCGGTCTCGGGTTCTTTGCAGTTGCTATCGCAGCAGGCGACGACTGCGTAGCTTGCTCTGCATTCGTGCGAGGTAAAAGGACATCAACGGAAACAGTCTTCCAGACGTCGAACGCCACGTCACAGGATCCAGTGCTTTCTTCGACATGATGAGGCACGCTCCGACCGTCTCTATGACCTCCACTTGCAATTGCTGCAACCGGTTCTAGACAGCGTCGAGGGTGCAGCTTCTGCTCTTTCAAGAACGAGTACACGTCCAAGCAGGCGAGGGATACATTGGCATCTCTGGCCAACAGTGCAGTAAAGTCTGCACCGCTTACTTCCTTTGCAACTTTATCTTCAGCTGACGTACAATAGATCACCAGCGCTCCTCGCTGGACCAGGTAATTGGCTTCCTCTGGATACAAGGACAGACCCGTGAACGTGCGGATGGAATGGGTTGGAACCGGACTTTTGCCCTTCCAACTCGCAGGTGTCGATGTGACGGTCTCGACGAGGTCATCGAGCTCTCGTCGCTGTTGTTTCTTCACGCTGGCCCCCATGTTGAAAAGCAGTCGCCCTCGCTGGTGCGTGACGTGTGTGAGTCCTGTGGCTGCATCGAATTCACCGATTGAGACGTCTCGGCCAAGCTTTCTTGGGTGTGCCATTCAATGCAAGTGCAGCTTCTGGTACAGCTCGACCAGGAGGACTCTAGGATGGTTGCAACTGAGAGATGGCAATGTTCAAATCTACAGCTACGGAAGAGGCTAAATATGTTGTTCACGACTTTCGACTTGGTGCTGGCGGCTCCACCGTTATGATTCGCCGTCGCAGCTCTCGTGAAGTCACGGACAGCCACTCGTCATTGTCGACAGAATCGCCCTATCGGAGCATGAGAAGAAAAAATCAGCACTTGCGTGAGCCATCCAGCCAAACACATTTGTACCTCGATCTGCTTACCTTGTAGTGTACGCGAATGAACTTGCCCTGTATGGCCACAACTTTAGCCTGCGCAGCAGGTAACGTGATGCCCAACAAGTAAGAAGCTGACAAGCATCAGGGTCAAAAATGACGACGAACCTCAGTGTCGTCGAATCGGATAGTTGAGCCCTTGACCGTTAAATACTTGTGGGCACTGCCCTTTGTCGGCGTGCAAGCACGTGCTTGAACCACGCATCGACTGACCTCTGCCGTGACTTTATTTTTCCTTGGCGGTGACAGCATGACCACTGAGGCTGGTACTCTTGCTGGTTTTCGCTTGGAGCGAACCTTTGCGTCTTTGCCCCGTTTGCGGACGCTGTCTCCCATAATGTTTTTTGATGCCCTGCCACTTCGACGTCCAACTCCGGCGCTGGGTAGTGCGGGTGACGTACCTCCAGCTTCTTCAGCGAGACAACGATGACACAGCAGCGACTGCGGAAGGTCTTTAGCTGCCAGATTGGCCAAAGCAGGGTGAATGCAGCGAACGTGGACCCAGATCTTGCATTTCGAGCATTCAAACCATTGTTCCTGTACCGCAGACGAACAAGGTTCGTTTCAGATCGTTTTGCGCAACGCTCACGTCTGCGTAACGTACCTCTACAACCGCTTGATGATTATTGCTACTACAGTACTTACTGCACTTGCAGCTGAAGACCCAGGGATCTTCGCCCAAGAGCTCTGTGCTACATTGAGGCTCGTCAAACAGCTGCGTGAGGAAGGAATCCATGTCGATCCTTACGCTGTCAGGGAGACATTTGCAAACCTGAGTCCATATAACATCAAAAGACGATGAGTACACGTATACAGCCGACACACTATAGCTGATGCATGCAAGCCCGAATCCTGCCTTTGCCTTCAACCCGTACGGAATCCAATGCAGCATCGCGAAATTGACAGCTTCAGCGATGTTGTATCCTTTTACGCCGCACAACACATCGTAAGAAGTCTTACTCGACACAACGGCATCGATAAACAGAGCAAAACCATACCGAGATTAAATCCTTGGTGATAAGTAGACGGAAAAGTTATCACGAATTCGCCTGGCTTTTGATACGCCCGATAAAACGGGACGCCAAACTCTTTTAGTCGGGCGGGCGAGATCAGAGACGTCTTGTGGCGCAGGAACTAATCCAATGTCAGTTTCAGAGAGAACGGTGCATCAGTACCACACCAAACAGAGCGTCAAAGTGATAGTGGTCCGCGTACCTGGTGGCACTGGTGGTGCTTCTCGGGAAACATCGATTGTGCAGCTCTTTCCAGCTGAGGACCTACATGGACATGAGCGATCAAATCGTCAGTCTTGTGTCACGTCAGCATACATGCATGTCTGCCACACTCACCAGAATCTGGAGGGACTCCATACCAAAACTTTGGCTTTCCCGTGTGCAAGTAGTTTATGCTATACAGATCCATATCCTCCTGCACAAACAATTTAAACTTCAACACTCCCTTCTACACCAGCACAATGCCACCACCATACCGTGTGAAATGCAAACATCGCTCTCCACATGCCAAAATACAACATCGCTCGCGTGACGCCAGGGAGGTCGATTTTGCGCAAAATCGTATTGAGGTCATTCAGGTTCCACGATAGCGCGTTAGCGTCACCAAACAGCGAATCCTGAGCGCATGAATGACAACACATTCAATCAAGTGACCGCTCATCAGCACAACTTGAACAGTGCATGTTACGGTCGAAATTGACGACACGACGTACCACAATATCGGCACCATAAATGGGCGGGTCCATCGTTCCCCGCAGTCCCTTCCAGAATCTCCGTTCCACTTCTAGCGGATCATCAGAGTCTACAGTCACACACAGCAAAAGTAAAATAGAGACAACAATCGTTAAGTACGCACGATAACGGCACCCGCTGTCACAGCTCCCCTAATCACGTAATCCAGTACCATCAGGTTCTCGATCCGTCGCAGTTTCTGCCATTGTTTTAAACTCAGCAGGGCTCATGGCCTTTTTCTCCACCAAGTCCACATTGAAAATGCCCTTCTTGCCCGCCACGTGCTGGCCCACTGGAGCCGAGACCTGGCACTGGAGCTCCGAGACGTCGTACGAGCGGCTGAACCAGCCACGAGGAGGGATGACCTAAGGAGTGGAGACCACCAGCATATGTGGGTGAGTGGGTGGGTGTTTTTTTTACATCCAGCACGCGTCATCAGGTTTGGGATAAAACCAGCTCAAATCTAATAAAACCCACACCCTCACGCATCGTCTTTTATTTCGACTTTTGACTTTGGTTTGTACCTTGCAAATGCCAATACGGGTACATTGGGGCTCCACGACCGTGCGGATGTAAGTGGCAAAGGACTGGAACTCCGTGCGTGTGGGGTGGAATTCTGGGCACCATTTGCTGGCCGACGATGGAGAAGAGGACGCGCCAGCGCCACGTCGGTCGTTGACGCACATGGCAAGATGGGGGTACACGGATCAGGGGGTGAATGTGTGGCTAAAGCGTCGCAGACGCAAGGGTTTTTAGAAACACGTCGATTAGTTAGAAACTGCTTTTTGCAACAAGTTGTTTGGGGACTTTCAGTCCTGATAATGACGACGTGCTTTTGTGCTTCTCCTTTTTGTCGGACGATTTCTGTGATGGTTTCTACCGACTGAAAGCCTTTTTCTTCTTGGTTCTAGAATTTGACCCGTACGTACACATTTACAGGCTAAAACTCAGTAGACCGGTATGGTGACGTCAGATTCCGTGAGTCGCCGAACGGTAGAATACCGGAAGCAGTACCTTCGTTTAGTAATATGTGCAGAATAAACCCAGGCAACAATACGCCATCACACAATTCCTTGCCCCGACGTCCTCTTTCTATCGCAAAAAACAACGTCGGCCGCATGTTCGTATTCAACACACCAATCACCTGGAGCAGGAACCACGACAGCACTGCCAGAGGCTTGAAGACCGCAACATATTGATAGCAACTCCTCAAGGAATGGCCACACTGCCAAGTAGCTTGACCACAATCAGCGTTACAAGAGACGCATCATCTATTCGCCTTTAATACATGTCACAATCCTATCGAACACAAGAACGACGCCACGTGAGTCACCTCCGCTTCGCGCTAATGAGGGAGAAGCGGCAAAGGACTCACCAGTCGAACCCTTCGAAAAGACCCGAACCTTGTGTTGCTGTCGTCTCTTTGATAGACCATTGACGATTGCGTATGTCCGAAAGTCCCATCGCCTCCGAAATCTATCACCCCACACACGATGACCATGTTAACAGCTGCAGCCGAAACAAGTTCCGACATCGTCAGGTACCACAACGAACCTGCGCTGCATTCAACGCTCCCTTCTGGTCTTGTTTGTTGGCAAATACTAGCAGGATCGAGTCCTTCAGCTCTTCCTCCTGAACAATGCAGCACACAGCAATCAGTACACCGACAAGTTAACTCCGTAAAACAACAACAATAACAAAGACACAGGCACGCATGTACACAAACTAAGTAAGACCGCAGGGGATACATGTATCTACCTCAAGCATAGCGTGTAGCTCCTGTTTTGCAATATCGAGACGGTCGATATCGGCCGAGTCCACGACGTAGATGATGGCGTCTGTATTGGGGTAATAGCACCGCCAATAGGGTCGGATGCTCGTCTGACCGCCGAGGTCCCACACCTGAAACTTGATATTCTTGTATTGCAGTGTTTCCATATTAAAGCCAATAGTAGGCACTGTCTGCTCGATCTCGTCGGCCTGCAGACGGTCTAACAAACGACCACAAACCAGCACGTACAATGAACATCCCAGGCTCCTCCCCCCCCTCTCTGTCTCTCTCTCTCTATCTCCTCCTTACAGCGTACATAGAATCGTCGTCTTGCCAGCGTTGTCCAGTCCCAGGATCAGCATCCGAACCTCCTTGCTGCCAAACAGCGCCGCAAAGACTTTCGACATGGCAATCCCCATCGTTCAGTACAAAAGTGAGACTTGTGTGGGGGAACCTGAGGAGAGGCAGTAAAGAGAGGGAAAGAGTTGTGACATCTGGCAAAAGGTTTGTTTGTTGTTTGTTTGAACCCCTTCGAAACGACGTGGGCAAGATGGCGGTCCGACTAGCACTATGCTTGATAATCATCCTCTTCTGCCAGCCTCGGTTTCTTCTTATAAGGAGGTTGGTCGTCGTCCACTAGAAACGCTCGCAAGGTGTGGTAGTCATTCGCCAGTGGCGACGTGTCAATTGGTAGCTGCAGTAGCTTTTTCTTCAACATTGAGACGATACTTCCGTCCTGGAGCACCGCAAGCACTTCAGACTCCAAGCCACTTGAATGGAAATTGCGACTGCGTACTTCTTGGAGATGGTCCAGTTTGTTGATTAACCTTGCGACTGCCGAGTCTTTGGAAAAGTTGCTCTCACTAGCACTCTCAAGAGAACTGTGGACGTAACTCGTCATAACGTCCGGAAATTTGTCCATCCAACAAGTCAATACTGACAGTGAGAAATCATCGTACGTGTCCGAGAGATTGAACACGCTTTGTAATACGCTGACGTCTGGCCGGAAGTGGATCAGACACTTGAGCAGTCCAGTCATCGTCTCGGGGGTCTCTTTTGGATCCACACAGGCCAACACCTTTCGTGCTGCTGCCATCATGTTTGTTTCGGCAGCGACTGAACGCCCCGACTGGAGCTCCGCCACGACGAGGTCCCACATACTGTACTGTTCCCATGAAGTCCATTGCAACGACGAGAGCACAATGTTGGCCAGCCGGTTGTTGAAAATCGAAAACTCACGCATGACAACTCGGCTGCATAGCGTGTGCAGCATCGCTGGCGTCAAGAGCCCGAGGAGCGACTGTACGAGCGCTTCACTGCGACCCTCGAGCTTGGAAAGGAACGGATGCTCCACATGTGCAAATAAATACGGGCATACGAGAAGCGAAGTGGCGCTCACGGCATCCATCTCGCCCTTGCTCAAACTCATGGACACGGGCTTATCCAAAAAGCCACAAGCCTGTGCCCGCGCATCGTCAATTTGCTGACTCAAACTCAAATCTTTCACGATGTGTTGGGCCAAGTTGCCACCTATGGCATCGGCAAATACAGCGTAAGGCCCGAGAGCAATGTCCGGACTCTTTCCGTTGCCTTGTGAACAGCAGAAGACAAGCAACCGGTAGGAAATCGTGACATCCCGCGCATACATAGCCTTCAGGAATGGCACATAGAGCGCCAAGGGTTCACTGAGCACCTGGTCCAGCATTGAATCGAAAACACTCACAGACGTGGCGTCTTGTAAGTTCCTCGAGGCAATCGGTGACGTTACAATAATTCGTTCAAGCAACTCGTGCAGAAACGATCCCAACGAGGCGGCGAGCTCGACTGCATTGTCTTGTCGAGACCACGAAAGCAATATGTCGTTCAAACACTCCAGAAAGCTCTCGGATGGACGCGAACACGGCTCGGGCATTATCTGCTGAAAGCGCTTGATGTCAATGAGCCCCGAAGCAGCGATGCTCTCGGGAACGTCAATAACAGGCTGCACATGGGAGATAACAGGTGCCGGTGATGTTGGAGTGAGGGTGTCACCATGAGTTGCCAACTCTGTCGTAGACTCGATTGTATGCTGATTGCTGGGCAAAAATGAGAGCGCTCCAAGGGAGTTCGCGTCAGAGGATGCACTGCCTCCCAAACTTGTATCCGAATGTACCGGACTCTGTGATCGTAATGGCGACGCAAGCGGGCTCCCAACGCCGATAGGACTACCTCGGACAGGCGACTCTCGAGCAGGCGAATGCCTAATAGGTGATTGTCTACCTGGAGACGACGCGGGACCAGGGGACCTGGAAGGGCTCTCACCAGCACTTGATAGCGGACTGGATGCTGAGGCTTGCGCTTGGGTCATCGTGGCAATTTCAGCAGAGGGGAAATGCTCTGGGAAAATCCGGTGAAGCTCCGACTGGAGTTCCGGAGCACTGGAAAGCAGCATCGGGAACGACTGAAGTGGCAGGATGGATGGCACAACGCCAAGCTTTAATATCGTCGAGAACGCAGTGGACACACCTTTCTGCATGAGTTTTCGATTGACAGCTGAAGCAGCGTACTTTTCGACAGCAAACACGAGAAACTGGATCATGGAAAGCGACACAATGGGGTGACTCTTGAGCGATTTCACCTATATGATGCAATGAATGAACCAGCCACACGGACGTCAGTACCGCTCCTGGAAGCAAGAAAGCAGGCAGACAGGTTATCTCACCATCAGCAAAATCGCAGGCTCTACACTCATGATGTTGTCGGATGGTTTGAAGTACAAATAATCGAAAAACATAGCAAGTTGGACTCGAGCCAACAAATTCGGAGTTTTACTACCGTGGCTACAGGCACATTACACGAATCGCCATCGACAGCGTGTTAGCATTACCCAAACTAGTGCGAGAACGAGCAACACGCACCAGAGCAGGTAGAGCCATCCAAGAATGTGGTACCGCGGTGTGACCTTTGAGCTCAGAATCTGGTTCGAGGGATGATAGACAGCGCATATGTACCGCACGAGGTCGGGAACGAGTGCGTCCGATCCTGTACTGCTCAAAAACTGTGACGAGAACCATTTCTGGTAGCGTGTTACAGAAGCCGCTTGAACACGTTCCTGGACAAAGAGTTGTTGTACGAGATAGTATAATGATCAGCAACTGCTCGTCTGCAAGCACAGTACTCGCTCAACGTGACAACTACGCACCATCATGAAGAGCAGATATTCCTCCATTTTAGGATTCAGCCGATAAGCAAGGTACTTTGGAGGTGTCGCGATCGCCATCAAATGTGCCACTGAGTAGACAGTGACCTCCTTTTCCACCTCAGTAGTGTCTCGCACGTTCCGCAATTGTTTCCAAAGTGCATTCATCCCTGGAATCTGCACGCAACGCACATACATATCAATCCGAAACAACACCTCAGATGAACGCACAATAACGCTTGTGGCATCCACGTACATCTTTCGCGTCGCTGAGCACGCGCACAATTTCTCGTCCGAGCTGTGCTACATCCGCCTGCCGACGGTTCCACAACGTCGTGCACAACTCCACCTCCTGCTTCAACAAGCTCGCATGTTGCGCAGCCGAGTGGTCGAGTGCAATTCGTGCGAAGGTGTGGAACACAAACGGGATCAAGCTCGAGCACGACAGCAGCCAAGCTTCGTGCTCAATCAGAATGCGAATCATCGACGACGCGAGCCAAATGGTCGTACGACTTGGATCGCCGCCCGTAAGGTACCGCATCAAGCACGCAACGACTTTGTCGACACCAGGTGCATTCACGTGCACGAGTTCCCGGACAAGCCAGAGCAGTTGACTGCGACATGCGACAAGCAGCTTGACAAACTTGAGGTCCACGAGCTTCTGAAGCCAGGCCATGCAGTTCTTGTAATTGTCAGCAGCTGCCACTGCAGTCAAGTACCGGAGATGCTGCTTCGACTGCGAGGGGTCCGTGATCACGCCGTATAGGAGTGCAATGTACGGCTGGAACGGCAGCGGCGTCACATCTTCGGTCGGCTGCTGCTTCAAGATGACGAGCGCTGCCGTCTCGTCTTTGCCCTGGATGGTTTTCTGCATGTGGTAAAAGTGCGCGTACCACTTGCGGTCGAGCTCATCAGGTGCGTCCAGAGGTGAATGGTTCAGGAGCTTGGAGGACGGCGGGAGGGCAGGATGGTGGCTGGAAGTAGACGACGCGCCTGCGACGTGGCTGGTGCTGGCCCTGGGTGAAGTGGTGTCGATGGTGGCAGGTGGAGCTTGTGGCGGAAGAACGGGTGGAGGAGCAGGTGGTGGTCCGGATGCCAGGGTTGCAGAGGGCGAGGAGCTATCGCTGTTGGGAGGTGGCGGCGGCGGTGGCGGCGGTGGTGGTCCCATGTTATAGCGCTGTCGGGATCGACACGCGGTGAAGTAACAAGAGGTGAAGTAAGTTGACGGAAGTACGGGAATCGGATTTGTCGCGTGTTGTCTAAATTAAGAGACAAGCGAAAAAATCGATGCGCGCTTTTCTGATTCGTGCAGCGGAAGTAGAGATCTCGCGCTGTCAACTGTCAGACCAATTTCGTGTGACAACGAATCGGGAAGTCAAGAAACACAAGTACGTGATATCACAAAAGTGATCACAGGAATGGACCAAAGAAATGAAAATACAAACGAGAGAGAACATACGGAAAACTGCACGCTTACTGAGGACAGGGAACCCACCCTAACACGGCCACACACCCTCTCCGTTCTACGAGACACACACTATGCCGTAATTTGGCCCCATCTATAGTGCTGACACTCTCAATTAGATACTGCGTATACAGTTGGATGTTCACCTTTACAGCAAGTTTCTGCAATAGTTCACATCAGCATAAGAAAGCGGTCTCAGAGCACCGCGGTATGCGGTCAAGCAAGGAAGTTCGTTTAATTTAGCTCCAGGTAATGAACCTTCCAAAGTAACAGCGCTGATGAGGAGTTGCCGCGTACGACTTAGCAGTAGAACAGATGGGATCAAAAAGGATGAGCGATACGTCCTACAGTCAGTGCAAAAGATCTAATTTCTTCCGCAAGTGTGTCATTCGATAGCGTTGCTATTTCCCAGAAGACAAAGTGCACTCTTCACAAAAGCTTAGCACCAAAAGCACTGCGTCTTTGGGTACGTCTCTTTCATCCCCGAATGATTGAACAAATTGATTTTGGAGACAGCATTCTACAAGCTCTTAGTATCACAACGCGGGTCTCCACATCCAATGCATGCAACTACACTCGTACGCAAACGATATATAGCTATGATGCAGCAGCAGCAGATATCACGTGTATTGTGTGGAGACGGATGCAATGTCACTAATTTATTACGTCAGCCATAAACTGACCCTCTTCGTCAAGAACAGCTTCAGGGACGAAAGTCACGAGCGGTGGAGATTTTTGATTGGACGCGCTCCGCTGCACGCCTCACGGTCGCGCATGCGCACTAAAGCTGCTTCGGTTGCCCCAAGAGGCGGATGTTGGCGTTCTGGTGATTCGGGTGAACTAAGTTGCGACGAATGTAATATTGAGAAATGTATTGGAGTGTTACTGTGATCCCGTTCCTCCCCTTTTTGGTACGGCCACATCCCCTTCAACGAATTTCACTTGATTGGAGACCCCCACATAGTAATTCACCCGCCAGCCACATTAATCCAATCCGGTCACACAGTGTCATGGGTGAAGCTGGATTACGCGACAGGTGCTTTCGTTGAAGGAAGGGCCGCATACGATTGTATAGCGTGCTACGAAGGGGCACGTTTGTGTACGTATTTCACCCGGAAAAGCAAACTACTAGATTGAATCACATGTAAGGTCACTGCTTTTAGCTGACCTCCTTACTCCCTTGAGCATTGCAAATCGCTTGTTTGAAACCCGTAGTTTTTAGTGTGGTAGGCGGTCGTCCGAATTGAGATAAGCCCTCCACAAGTTACGAGTTCGGTCTATAATTTAGCATGTTCCAGGACGATGCGTGATCATGAAGGCATGTCGGAGCCAGCACGTAGGTTCATCTCAATAGTCGCCAGGACAACCATTTTACATGAGTTCTTATGCGTTCATTCAATCAACGATTATTCGAAGCGAGCTCCGATAGTACGAGAAGGTGATCACACGTATTGACTCGACGAGAGCTGTAACAAGGCTCCCTTTGTCTGGGGTACCGCGAAACTTCACGTACGTGCAGAGAAAGCTATCTACTTGAACGACCCGATCACTTGAACGACTCGATCAAGTAGATAGCTTCCTCTGCACGTACTAGTGTGCGTGAATTTTCGCGGCACCCCAAACAAAGGGTGCCCCGTTACACCTGGTAGCACTTCGTAGTCCGTCCAACGACTACTTAGTGTCCGTCCAACACGAACATGTTGGACGTAGAAGACGACAGCTTTCACGTCACATGTGAAGGCGACTCCCACCTGAGTGACTCAGAATGGGAGGTAGTCGGCCGAATGAGTGTGATCATGGGCGAACCCGCCATAAGTGGTATGTTGGAGTCCCTAAGCAGAGACCAGCAAAATGCTGCTATCAACAAGTTCCTACAAGGGGAACTTGCCGTCGAACGACAGAAGATAGCCTTGCTACAGCAGCAAGGCTCTCATCAGTCGATGGACGGGACCGCGCCGACCCAAAACCTTGAAGAGATATCTCAAGGTATAAGGGAACCGATGAAGATTCCCTTTTGAGATGGTCCGTCGAGTTAGACGATGCCATCAGGGCCCGTCACATCGAGGGTGACGAGATGCAAGTCACCTTTGCACTGTCAAATTTGACGGGATGAGCAAAGACTTGGGCCTTAGGGATCAGATTCCTACCCAAACATGTTTAAGTCGTTGGAGATCTTAAATTCTCGGCTCAAAGAGACGTTTGAGCCGCCGAGAGCCGAGTTCAGAGCACGCTTTGCACTCTTGAGACTAAAGCCAGGTAAGCTCGACGTGCACGCTTACGCACAGCACCTGCGCTACCTTGCGAGCAGCGTTACGGAAAACCCTGCTGATGAGCACATGCTCATCAACGTGTTCATCTACGGCCTTGTGGTCCGCCGGTGAAGACCTACTTGTTCCGAGAGGACTTCCATACGCTGGAAAGGGCGATAGCGTATGCGGAACAAGAAGACTTCAGCCTGAGACAGTCTCAGGCTAACTCGTCAACTATCGTCCGACGAGGCGACAGAAAACAGGAGGTCCCGAACCAATGGACCTCTGTTACATCAAGAGCGAGAATTCTCGCTCTCTGAGTCACAAGCGAACGGCAAGATGCCACCGCTTTCAGAAGATTGGACACTACGCTCATAAGTGAAGTGTCCCGAGCACCGCATCACGTACAGGACGTGATGACCGCCGTTGGCCAAGGAAGGGTCCGAGGCGTGGGTCCGACCATGTCGCCAAGCCGCGACAGCAAGTCGGACCGTTAAAAAACGGTCAGGATCCGTAGGGGCGGAGCACCCTGCTGATCCAGCAACGTCAAGAGAATTTGCAGGACTCTTGACAAATATTGCTCCCAACACACAGTCGCTGTGTGTTACTGCCCTTAGTGATGAGGAGTCTCTCATCACTCTGAAGATCGAAGTGACGAGTGGAATGTCACTTCGCGCCCTAGTTGACTGTGGTGCGTCGAACAGTTTCATTCGACGCCAGTCGCTAAGGGATAGTAGTCTCAACTATGTTGAGCGAGATTTCCCTCCAACGAGAATGACGGAGTGCCTTGCTACAGGCGCATCCGTAACAGTGAACAAACGTGTAGTGTGAATCCACTACACGCTAGAAGGAAATCAGTACGATAATAACTTTATCGTATTTAATTTGGATGACAAATTTGATGTCATCCTTGGTCTTTCATGGCTTAAAAAGTACCAGCCATGTATCAGCTAGCAGCATCGATCCGTGAAGATGCCTGCCGTTTGTTCACCGGATGGCTATCTAATAAACGTCTTGGAGCGTCCACAAGCGTGTGGATTGTCTAAGAGTGAGTGCGATAGCCTCGCTTGTGGTACGGTCGTTAGTACGATTGCACAAGATCACAGTGTAGAAGGCTACTACACTGTGGAACCAGCTTCCCGCACCTGTGTAGAGACACAGGCTGCGCCGAAGGTTCACCACTCATAGAAATCGAGTGGACTGGAACACGGATGCACACCAAGAAGGGTGCATCCGAGAAGAGAGACTAGTGTTGTTCAGGATGGACAACACGTTGAAGCGAGATCGACTATCAGAGAGTCGATCGTAGAGCAAGCCCGCTCGACTGACAGAGATTCGATAGAAGAGGACGTGGCCGTGATAGTAACCGTAACGGAAGAAAATTTCGGCGTTCCTGAGAGCAATGACTCCCGAGAGAGTTATGTTGAGGGTGTGGATCCCCAACCACCTGCGGATGTGTTTTCCCAGGAAAGCATTGAGTCCGTTAATGTCTTGGTGAATGATGGATCAAGTGTAGGCGCTTATACGCTTGATCTGGTTACACCCCCGAAGTCAGCTTCGGAGGTAATCAAGTTGCCAACGCTAGAATCTAAAAGATTCTTGCGAGATCCGCGTAGTGACAAGATCAAGCAGATCTGCGTACTCGTCACAGAGGACGAGTACGTCGCCGATGTTTGGTCGGCACAAGTGTTTACTGAGTACGATGGGTTCTCAGCAGCTCATCGATTAATAAGAGTGTCCTCGATGAGAAGACCCGGATTGAGCGATACACGTTTCAATCTTAGGAGTATTTGAAGACAAATCCTTTGTATGAGGATTTGGTTGAATTCAGGGATGTTTTCCCCGAATCCGTGCAATGCGAGCTGCCTAAGGACAAAGGCACTCGGCATGATATCGAACTGAAACCCGGTTCGAAGAACTGTGTAATGAAGCAGTGGACACTGCCTCGTGAACAGGTCACAGAAATCGACAAATTCTTTGCAGACCGCTAGGCGGCTGGTCATGTGAGGGAATCAACATTCCCACACAGCTCTCCGACCTTCTGTATGCGAAAGGCCACAGGAGGGCGGCGGATAGTACACGCGTTCAACAAACTGAACGCTGCAACGGTACCGGCTCAAACGCCGATCCCAAGAAAGGATGTCATCGTAGATGGTATGGCAAAAAGTACCATCTTTTCATCCATGGATCTGATGGATGGATTCTATCAAATCCTCATGCGATAACGGGACAAACCCTTACACAGCAGTGATCACCCCCAGTGGTATGCTCTGGGAGTGGCTAGTAATGCCACAGGGGATAAGTAACGCCCCCGCAACGTTTAACAGATGTGTTACGCATCTGTTGCGATCATTGCGCGATTTTGCACCGAGTTACTTCGACGATGTCTTCGTCCATAGCCGAGCTATGGATGGAAAGACGGACGTGGAGGTTCATAGAATTCACGTCCGGAAGGTTCTTACACTTATGCGAAAGCATAAGTTGTTCGCGAACCTCAAGAAGTGTATACTCGCAGCGAACGAAATACCACTTCTTGGCTGCATCGTGGTCAAAAACGGTGTACGCCCTGATCCGGAAAAGATCAAGACGATTGGCGGCTCGCCTGTGCCAGTCAACGTCAAGGGACATTAAAAGTTTCTTGGCTTGGCGGCTTACTTGCGCAAATACTCGCGCAACTATGCCGAGATGACCGTACATTTCTCTCGTCTATTAAAGAATAACGAGAAGTGGTCATGGAGCGCTGAGTGTCAGTACTCTTTTGTAAATATCAAGAAAAGCTTGTTGCGATCGCCTGTGTCGGCGATTGCAGATCAGGATAGGCTATTTCATGTGGTCTGTGACGCCTTCGTTTTTGCAATCGGCTGTGCGTTGATGCAGTATGACTCAGACGGCGTTAAGCGCGTCGTCTGTTATCAATCGCGTCAGCTGCAAGCAGCTGATCGAAATTATACGGTTCATGACAAGGAACTCCTTGCCATGAAATGTGCACTGGCCACGTTTTGGTTATATCTCTTAGGAGATAGGCCCTTCATCGTGTATACCGACGTATGCGTCGTTACGCACGGCCGTAAACATTACACACCTCTCGCAACGAATGGCGAGGTGGATGTCTTTCTTCGCGGAGTACAACTTATCCGTCGAGCATAAACCAGGACGACTAAATGTCGTCGCTGATGCTCTTTCGCGTCGGCCCGATTTCGAGCCGACTGCTCAACTCAACAGTAGGGGTGATCCCACTGTCGCGACACTAAAGTGAGTGTTCCATCGTCGAATCTGCTCGATGACGTGTGAAAAGCATACACAGAAGATGAGTCTCGTATGCGGTTGATGGATTATGTATCTAATCGGTGCGGTCAAGCTTTGAAAAGCTTGTCGTCTCAATACTGCTCTTCAACCGAACGGTATTCTGTCCGTGATGGACTGCTGTACTATACATCAGTCAACGGCGACACACCTCGTGTCGTCGTTCCGGCTCATAATGATTTGCGGTTGCGCATCATGTATGAGTGTCACGATTCCCCAACAAGTAAACATCGCGGTAGAGAAAAGACTTACCTCATGGTGAGTCGTGACTTCTACTGGCCCCGCCAGTATGAGTTTGTGCGGAAATACATTCGCGCTTGCGAAGTTTGTCAACGGGTGAAGCCTAGTCCTTCATCCCTCGAACCCTAACAGCCTCTTCCAATCCCGGCAGAGTGTTGGCAGTCCGTATCGATGGACTTCGTCTTCGGGTATTCCAGCGAAGATCACAAGAATACTGGTATTCTTGTGTTTGTTGATCGGTTCAGCAAGATGGTACATCTTGTTGCTGGACCGGAGTCAATTACAGCCCAGGGCTGTGCGCGTGTCTTCATCAATACTATCTTCCGACTTCACGGGTTACCCCGTGAACTCGTGTCCGATAGGGACCCCCGCTTCACGGCGGATTTCTGGCAATCCGTGTTCCGTTCACTTGGAACACGTTTGACGATGTCAACTTCTGACTATCCCGAAACTTCTGACAATCCCGAAACATATGGTCAAACGGAACGCGTCAACTGCGTTCTCGAAGAGATACTTCGAGGGTATGTCCACTCGTTTACGAGCTGGAGTGAGTTCTTGCCGATGGCAGAATTCGCCATCAACAACTCGGTGCACGCGTCTACAATGCATACACCGTTCTTCGTGAATGGCCAACGCCATCCCCGTTTACCCGCCTTCTTAAAGTGTGACTCTAGTTTAAGGGGAGGGGTGGACTCGCTCGAAAAAAACCGACCTGGTTCTTGCTCATCACCTGTCGACAATGGTGTCGACGTGATGGATGGCGATGTTGACGCGATCGACATCGATGATGACGATGACGACGATGCTGGCATATTCAGCATTGCCAATGACCGCCAAAGTGAGGACGATGATGCCCTCACTGGTGAAGACAACTCTCTGTTTAGCAGTGCACACGAAGCGCACTGCTGTTTACAAGGATGAATCAGCAGAGGAATTTCTGCTGACTCGCGAGGCGGTTGTCCGCTTCGTTCAAGACTCTATTGCAGATGCATTAGACAGACAGAAGAGAAACGCAGACAAACGTGGAAGAGCAAATGCTCTCTCATTTGATATAGGAGACCTAGTTTACTGTCTACAGTAAATTTACCGAAGCACGCAGTGACAAACGTGGGCAGCAGTAAGTTACTGCACAGGTACATTGGTCCATTTCGTGTGTTGCGCCGAATGGGCAACGCATACACGATTGAACTGCCCCGTAAGATGTGCACGCATCCTACGTTTTACTTTGGTCGTCTCCGCCCGTTATATCAGTACGAGCCCGTTTTGAGATGCGAAGAACACCTCCACGGTCGAGAGCCGAGACCATTCTCGAGTGGTCCCGTTTCAACGAGCCAGTCTGGTCGACTAGCGAAGCGACCTGTTCACGCAGATCAGCGATGTCTCGACGAGCAGCAGCCATCTCATCACGAAGAGAACGAGTAGAACGTTCGTTCTCAAGTTGCGCGAAAGAAGACGCGGCACGATCGTCCGAACGATCGGGAGTTAGGGAATTATAATTATCCCTCACAAGATCCGTAAGCCCATAATGCCGATATCGTTCATGAGCCAATTCATCTTGCAACTGTTCCGTTAGACGGTTCAGCTCTTGAACATCAACTTGATCCGACCATCGATCCGGATCAGGTGTTCTCGCCGCCACCACATCCATTGGTGGACTCAAGCGGTGGTCAACTCTTCCTAGTGGAGCGTATTTTGAACCACCGCGATGTGAATGGCGTCCGGATGAAGAACCTCGTCAACTGACGTGGCTCTCCACCGGCGTGGGACAGCTGGGAGCCTCGTGCCCGGATGAATGTTGATGTCCTTGGTCTCGTCGAGCAGTACGACGATACCCAACCGCTGCGTTCGAAGAAGGGCCGTCGGAAAACGACTTTCCCGACGCGAGTACAGGGATTGCAAGGTGTCAACCCCTTTGGCCATCTCGGAAGAGATGTGCGTTCTCCAGTAGGGATCATAAGGGAGGTAGGCCTCCCTAGGGGCGCGATTCGAGTTTTCCAGGCAACTTAGACACGAATCACCCCACGAGAGACAGGGTAATCCTGCCTCTCTTGAAAGCCGGTGCAGCTTGTATCGCGCCTCGACGGGGTTGCGTTTCTCAAACCTGATGCGAGCTGCATCAAGTTTGGCGAGCCAAGCCTCACGGCCAATAAACTCGATGTTGTGGATGAGGGCATTACATCCCTGCACCAAGGCTTTGCCGTCTCGTACACGGCTATCATTGTACCACCGATGTTAGAATAACGCATCGGTGAAAAACTCTTTCTCAGCACGGATAGTTTCCGTGCTGGAATCAGGAGGGCAAATCTTCCTGCAATCGAACAACGGGATTCGATCCCGTTCGGTAGTCGTGCTGACCAAACGGTCCAACTCTCTGGATGGCGGCATCCACGGAGGCTCTACTTGAGGAGAGTGGAGCAGGACATTTCGGTCCCTGGCCTCTTGATTGGTGCCAGCATAAGCACTGGCACCAGTGTTACCCCGATCCCTTGAGCTGCTTCGCTCGTGGTGATGCATGGGTGCATCACCACCATCTCCACGCGTCCTATCGTTGGATGAACTTGCGCGAGGCGGAGACTCATCAGAGGAATCACTCGATCCGAAGATCTAGGTCATGATGCTGCCGCGCTGATCACAGCCAGTCAGCCTGGCTTTTGCAGCGTCCGCCCCGGGTGATCACGAGGTGTGAGGAGTCGCCTTCGAGTCGGATGCATCATCCGACTCTCCAGATAAGATGAGCTCTATCTCAGACTCGTCTGGGTTACAATTCGAGGTACCCGCTGCAGACGCAACGGATGTACCTGTCGCACGTGGTGACTCACCACGTGGAGGATTTACGACAACAGGCGACGAATCGCCTGCTGCTGAGGCGTGAGAGGCACTTTACGCGGCCGCACGCATGCTTGCAGCCGCTCTTCTTGCTGCTGCAGTAGCAGCTCGCGTGATTTTGACAACCATGCGTTGGATTGGCAAATGAATAGAATTTGACCAACAAGTGCTCCCTTTCCCAGGGTGATCCAACGTTGGTCACTCTGTCCCAATCAATTCTAATTCAATCAACGGGTAATTGATGGTTAAGGGTGATGTGACGGGGTAGCCCCGTTGCATGAAATTGACACCAAACGGTGTCGATTGAAATATTGTCTAGCATGACAATATTCTACCGATATTATCCGGGATGTGTTATATTGAAGGAATTTTATTCCTTTCGGGATAATATTCATTCACTGCTCCAAGATTGGTTGATATAAGATATATCAACCATAGATTGCCACCAATCGCTGCTAGACGCGCGGAATGAGTGGTGAGCAGGTTGTCGTCATACGATGGCGTAGTTTAATATATTTAGATAAACATTAAAGTAAAAATTATAGCTTAACTATGTTAGGAACAGTTCTCTTTTTACCTTACTTGATCGAGTCGTTCAAGTAGCTTAGCTTCCTCTGCACATACTAGTGTACGTGAAGTTTCGCGGCACCCCAGACAAAGGGTGCCCCGTTACAAGAGCGGCTTTAACTATGTATTGCGTTGAGAGCTTAAGAGTACTTTCAAACTCGTGGATGCCGCTACGAGACTTGGATCGTAATGACAACGTAGTGCGATTGGGTGGGATTTTCCAAACTGAAAAGGATACGAGAGGAGGTCAGTAAAGTAGACAACCCACCACTTGATTTCATCGTCAAGCGCAGACTACAAAGAAATGCTACGTGAGACTGGGTAGCAGTGCATGCACCACAATTGCATTTCTCTAGCTCAATTTTCAGTGGCTTTCTTATTGATTTACCCGACCCCAGTGGCACACTTTGCTCTACACCGTGCATGAGCGCTCTTTCCTAACGAGCCTGGACAGCATCACTCGCACAAAGAGCAAAGTAGAGATCAAGCTCTTGAGATGAAAGTGCTGATAGATTGAGTGTGTAACGGGGCACCCTGAAGCTTGTACTGGTAACAGCACAAGCCACTTATTCCGTTGACAGAACAAGGCGGTGCCGCGTAACTTCACGTACACTAGTACGTGCAGAGGAAGAGGGTAAGGAGAAGCAAGTACTTGGTTAAAGTAAAAAGTAGAACTGTTTTTATCATAGTTAACGTCTGTTAATAAACCACTGTTTATCCTCATCTAACTATGTCTGAATACAAATGTGCATATCAACTATCTGCTCACCACTCATTGCGTGCGTCTGTCGTGGCGCGTCTTCGTTGGTTGATAGAATGGCCTATATCAACCAATCAGGAACTACTCGTAAGTACTGCAGAATATTTGTCCTTATGACAATATTCTAAGAATATGACTCTTCTAGTTATATTCTATTAACAATTTCTTAAAAATTGTTATGTAACGATTCACCCCGTAACATCACCCCCCCCCTTTACCATCGGTCACTTTAGTGACTGATTGACTAAATGGATACTCGTCCCAAATCATTTGGGACAGGGTTTGCACTTGTTGGTCCGAGTCTACAGTCCATCAGTTTCATCGCATGGTTAACAAGTCCGTGCGGTGCGCGAACAAGGCCGCTGAGAGCGCGTCTGCACGTCTCTGTGCAGACGCCGAAGCAGAAACCGCTGCAACCGATCTGTCATCGGTTGCTATAGCGTCTCAGCCTGTATCATCTGGTGATGCAGGCGCTCGTCATGAAGACACTCACGTCTTCACAAAGCATGAGCTCGGTGTCTCATACTCTCCTGATACGGAAGAGGGATATGTATCAGGGATCTGTATCAAAGGCGGTTGAAACCAAGCCGCCTGCCAAGCGTGGCATGGATGATGCTACGCGTCGTAGCATCTTTGGTTCGTCTGACGAATCAGATGAACCGTCGCCGAAGCGAAGGCGCTCGAGGTCGCGAGACTCGGGCGCTAACAGTGGTGTCGGTTCTCCTATGGACACCACTTCGCAACGAGGTACCAGCACTTCTGCTGGCACGTCGCAGGAAGAGCGGGACCGCAACATGTTGCGTCTCGCTCCCGAAAAGAAGGCATGGCTGCCTCCAAAGTCAGTCATGGATCGCTTGTCGGCGACGACAAGTGATCGCTATCGAACACGATTATTCGATTCATTAAGGATCCATCACCTTGATCTCAGTGCACAAGACAATCACACTGAGCATGAATTATTCATTGATGCTTTGTTTAAGCATCGATGGTACAGTGGGAATCACAAACGTGATGGTCCCTCACTGCTTCAAGCATGGAACGCTTACATCCATAACCTTGAGGATGTAGATCGCGACGTTTGGAACGACAAACTTATCAAAACTCGTGATAAGTTTGAGAAGAGAACCCCGACAGGTGCACGCTATTATCTGACACCCTATTAGATGCATCTTCTGTCTAAGGAGGGTGGGTTACCCTGTCATTCCTGGGGCGACCCGTACCCTTGCTGTGTAAATAACTCTGCGCGCAGACCTAAGGAGGCTTACCTCCTTACTAGCCCGTGGTGGCGCGTATGTATTTTTTTATTTCTAGTGAGATGTACGAAGGGATTGACAACCTGAAATCCCTTTACGAAGTGCCGGGAAGACTTTATCCAGCGGTCCTTCTGCGGCACAGGATGTGCCGCGTCGTTCTGCTCGACCAGACCCAGTACGTCAACCATCAGTTGGGAGCGGGGCTCCCAAGAATCCCAGGACGGGGGATAGCCGCGCCACCGGACGAGGTAAATCGTCCGACGTCCGTTCACATCGCGGTGGTTCAACAGCCGCTCAATAATATAGCGCTGGCCTCCGCGAGAGTCCCCTAATGGAGGTGGAGGAGGAGGGAAGACGCTCTCCACACGATCATGTGGAAGCGTGTGTCCCTGAGAGCCTCTTTGATCGCCTAAGTCTTGCATTGCGCGGCGACCTCGAGCATGAGCGGGACAGACGTCTTCAACTGGCGGACAATGTCTTGAATATCGAGCTGAGTTTGCTTTTGCTCAGCTTGAGAGCGAGAGAGCTTTGACATCTCTGCGTGACGAGCTAAGGGTAGCTCGTGTGGATATTGACCGGTCTCGGGCTGAAATAACTGCTCTTCAGACCCTTGTTGATATCCACCATCGGGAGCACAAGGCCCTCTGTGAGATGCTTGAGCGCAAGGGCGTTCTTCATCGGAAGAACAGCGTACTGATGGTACGGCTTAAGCCAACCAACGCAAAACGTTGGATGCGTTCGCATCTTACGCGGCAGTTCGATCGTGTATGCGTTGCCAAGGAGATGCAATACACGAAATGGACTACGATGTACTTGGGTAGAAGTTTACTGCTACCCAAGTTAGTCACTACATGCTTTGGTAGATTAGCCGTAGACAGTAGGACTAAGTCACCTTTATTTAATAAAAGAGTGTTTGCCCTTCCATTCTTGTCAGCGTTTTGCTTTTGCTTATCCACCGCTTCGGCGATGGAGTCTTGCACAAAACGGAATACCGTTTCACGATCCAGTATGAACTCATCTGATGACTCGTTAGCTTCAGTGCGCTGTGAGCGCACTGCAGCAACATCAATATTTTCTTCAGTGAGGGCTTCCGCACTCTCACTGGGATCATCTTCTTCAGTGAGGGCTTCCGCACTCTCACTGGCATCATCTTCTTCGATATCGATGTTATCGATATCGGCATCAAACGCAATGACCTCTTCGTCAGAGCGTGATGAGCGTGAACCAAATCGGTTTTTGCTCGCGCGAGTCCCCCCCCTCAAACCAGAGTTACACTCTAGTAAGGTGGGTACACGCGGATGGCGTAAGCCATTCACACAAAACGGTGTATGGGCCGTGGACGCATGCACCGAGTTGTTAATGGCAAACTCTACCATTGGCAAAAACTCACTCCAACTCTTAAAGGAGTGTACGTATCCTCGAACAATCTCTTCGAGGACACGATTGGCTCGTTCCGTCTGACCATCTGACTCTGGATGATCAGATGTCGACATCTTCAAGCGCGTTCCGAGTGATTTGAACACGGAACGCCAGAAATCAGCAGTGAATCGTGGATCTCTGTCTGATACGAGTTCACGGGGCAACCCATGAAGTCGGAAGATGGTGTCGATAAAGACACAAGCACAGCCACTTGCTGTGATTGTCTCTGGTACAGCCACAAGGTGTACCATTTTGCTGAAGCTGTCAACAAATACGAGAATACCCGTATTCCCGCGTGCGTCTTTGGGTAACCTGAAGACAAAATCCATTGAGATGGATTTCCAGCACTCTGCCGGAACCGGTAGAGGCTGTAAAGGTGCACGCAGTGAAGGACTTGACTTCACTCGTTGACAGACTTCGCATGCGCGAACATAATTTCGCACAAACCGATACTGGCGGGGCCAGTAAAAGTCTCGACTCACCGTGTGATACGTCTTCTCCCGGCCACGATGTCCTCCTATAGGAGCATCATGATACTTGAACATGATCCGCAAACGCAGATCCGTATCATCTGGAATGACAACATGTGGTGTGTCACCAGAAACGGCTGTATAATACAGTAAACCGTTGCGAGTAGTGTATCGATCTGATGCAGATCGATGCGCAGACGATAATCGTTTCAACGATTCTCGAGATGGTTGTGAGAGATGTGTCAACAATTTCACCATCTTACCATCTTGGGCATGCGCCCGCCTCACATCATCATGCAACGTTAGAGACGGTATTGAGGACGTCATAACCGCAACAGCGGCTGTCTCACGGTTGGGTTTCACGACTGGTTCAAAGTCGGGCCGACGTGAGAGTGCATCAGCGACGACATTAAGTCGTCCTGGTTTGTACTCGACCGTAAAGTTGTATTATGCAAAGAATGACACCCACTGCGCCATTTGTTGTGAAAGGTGCGGGCTGTTCACTGCCGTGCGTAATGACGCATGGTCAGTGTAAACAATGAAGGGTCTATCTCCGATTAGAAACACTCTGAACTTCGCGAGTGTATACTTCATGGCAAGGCGTTCCTTGTCATGCACTGGATAGTTCCGCTCAGCTGGTTGCAGCTGACGCGACTGATAGCAGACGACGCGTTCAACGCCTTCAAGATCGTACTGCATTAATGCACAGCTGATTGCGAAATCGCTGGCATCACAGACCACATGAAATGGCCTGTCCTGATTGGCTATTGCTAGAACTGGGGATTTTATCAAGCTCTGCTTGATACCCTCAAAGGAGCGCTGACATTCAGCGTTCCATGACCACCTTTCATTCTTTTTCAACAAACGAGAGAGGTGTACAGTCATCTCGGCGTAATTGCGTGAATACTTATGCAAATACGCCGCTAGTCCAAGTAATTTCGAAGACCTTTGACATCAACCGGCACAGGCCAGTCGGTAATCGCCTTGATCTTTTCGGGATCAGGACGTACACTGTTCTTACCAACGATTCCCCCAAGAAGTGGTATTTCGCTAGCTGCAAATGTACACTTCTTGAGATTTGCATACAATTGATGCTTTCGCATTATTGCAGGAACCTGTCGGACGTGGTATCTGTGAACCTCAACGTCCGACTTTCCATCCATAGCCTTAATATGGACGAATACGTCATCGAAATAACTCGGTGCGAATTTTCGTACTGGTCTCAACAGATGTGATAAACATCTGTTGCACGTGTCAGGTACATTACTAAGCCCTTGTGGCATTACTAGAAATTCCCAGAGCATGCCGCGAGGCGTGCTCACTGCGGTGTAGGGTATGTCTTGTTCTCGCATAAGGATTTGATAGAATCCATCCATCAAATCCATGGACGAAAAGATGGTACTATTTCACATACCATCAATGATTACGTCCTTCCTTGGTATCGGCGTCTGAGCCGGTACCATTGCAGCATTCAACTTGTTGAATGCATGCACTATCCGCCACCCTCCTGTTGCTTTTCGCACACAGAAGGTCGGAGAGCTATGTGGGGAAGTTGATTCCCTCACATGGCCCGCATCTAAACGATCGGCAAAGAACTTGTTGATCGCAAGTACTTGTTCACGAGGCAGTGGCCACTGCTTCATGACACAGTACTTCGAGCCTGTTTTAAGCTCGACCTCGTGTCTAATACCTTTATCCTTCATTAACTCGCACGGAACAGTTTCAGGGAATACATCCTTGAATTCAACCAAATCTTCATAGAGAGGATTTTTCTTGAGCGATTCCCACGATTGGGAGTCATATCGCTCAACTCGTGTCTTTTCATCTAGGACACTCTCGTCCATCGATGAACTACTGAGAACTCTCTCGTTCTCAGTAAACACTGTTGCTGACCTTATGTCGGTTACACACTCGTCGTCAGCGACGAGTATGCAGATCTGCTTGACTTTGCCACTACGCAGATCACGCAAGAACCTTTTATGTTCGAGCGTTGGCAACTGAGTGATCTCCGAATTCAACTTTGGAGGCGCAATCAGATTAAGTTTATAAGAGCCTACACTTGATCCGTTATTGACTATGACATTCAATGTCTCTGTCATTTCCTGGGGACTTATTCTCTCAGGCCTCGAAGGACTCATTCCTTCGGCTTCCCGGGGACTTATTCCCTCGGGTTTCGGGGAACTTATTTCCGCCGTATTTGTAATCTTGGGACTTATTCCCTCGATTTCCTCTAGCTGGGGTTGCGCAACCACAGCGAGATCCTCTACGAAAGACTCTCCAGTCGATCTAGGATTATCGTTTCGCTTAACCTGAGCGATCGATTGTTTCTCTTCTAGATGTTCCCCGCTAGGGATACATCTTTTTCCCGGTCCACTCGACTTATTCGAGTGGTGGACCTTCGGCGCGGCCTGTGTTATCTCACAGCTGCCGGAACTTTGCTCCGAAGTGTAACTGTTTGTTACACTAAGGTTTTGTGCAGTCGTACTAACGACCGTACCACAAGTGAGGCCATCGCACTAACTCGTAGTACATCCACACGCTTGTAAACGCTCCAAAACGTTCATCAGATGGCCATCTGATGAACAAGCGGCAGGCATCGTTACTGTTCGATGTTGCCAGTTTACCCGTGGTTCGTACCTTCTGAGCCACGGTATTCCAAGGATGACATCAAATTTGTCATCCAATACGATAAAGTCATCGTCATATTGGGTATCTTCTAGCGTATAGTACATCTTCACTATACGCTTTATGACGGTTGCGGATGCGCCTGTCGCAAGACGTACCGTAATCCTCGTAGGAGGTGTGTCACATTCACTGAATTTAAAGTGACCATCTTCTAGCGATTGGCGTTGCACAAAATTGTTGGACGCCCCACAATTGACTAGAGCTCGAAGGGACAACTTATTTGTCACTTCGAGTTTCAAGGTAATGAGTAAGATCTCATTACCTCGAGCAGCAACGCACAGTGTTTGTGTGTTGGGAGCAACCTTCATCAAGGGGCCTACAAATTCTCTTGACGTTGCTGGGGCAGTAGGGTGCTCCGCACCTACTGATCCTGTCTGTTTTTTGACGGTCCATCCCGTTGTTGCGTCTTTGCACCAACAGCGGACCCGCGTCCCTTCCCCTTTCTCACGGGTGGACGTTCATTACGCCCAGTGTTGCGAGACACTGGACGAGGGGCACTACACTCGTAAGCGTAGTGTCCTGCCTTTTGACATCTGTTGCATCTCTGCAACTTCTTGTAGCCTGTAGAGCGAGCCTTCTCGCTCTCTACATAACAGAGTTCCATCGACTCTGGACCTCCGCTGTCATATCGTCTCGGTTGACGATATGATGTCGAACTGGCGAGAGCCTGTCTCAGACTGAAGTCTTCCTGTTCCGCAATGGAAATGGCTTGTTCTAGTGAATATAGTTCAAGTCGGAACCGGTGAGTCTTGACGGAACCATCCGCAAGACCCTGCATGAACACAGAAACCAACGTGTGCTCATCAACCGGGTTGGAACTTATACAACTTGTGAGATGTCGTATATGTTGCGCGTAAGCGTGCACATCACGCTTACCCTGTTTGAGCTTCAAGAGTTCGGTTCGAGCTCTAAACTTAGCTCTAGGCGGTTCAAACGTTTGTCTGAGCCGCGACTTGAAGACTTCCAACGACCCAAACGCATATGGGTCGTGCAACTTGAGCCCCAGTGCCCAAGTCTTGGCACGTCCTGCCAGATTTGATTGGGCAAATGCAACTTGCATATCCTCGTCGTCTATGCGACGCGCCCTTATGGCGTCGTCTAATTCGACAAACCATCTCAAGAGGGAGTCCTCGTCAACTCCCCTATACTTGGAGATGTCAATCTTCAAGGTTTCGGGTCGACGCGAGTGCATCGACCTACCAGCAGCAGCCTGCTGCTGTCTCAACAGTTCAAACTGTTGAGCACCCTGTTCTCTCAACAACTCTGCTTGTTGAGAACCTTGTTGGTGAAGCAAGGCTACTTTCTCACGTTCAGCGTCAAGTTCATTTTGAATGAACTTGGCGATAGTAGCATGTAAAGCATCTGTATTGAGAGCCTCTAGCATCACGCTAACAGCATGGATGCCCATGGTTGAACCCATCCGTTCAACCGCATCCCATTCGACATCGCTCAAATGGGAGTAGCCGTCACGCGTAGCGTGAAAGCTTTGGTCATCATCATTATCTAACATATGCATGTTAGGTGTAAACGTGGTCCTTGGACGGACTACAAAGTGCTACCAGGCGTAACGGGGCACCCTGGAGCTTGTACTGGTAACAGCACAAGCCACTTTTTCCGATGACAGAATAAGGCGGTGCCGCGTAACTTCACGTACACTCGTACGTGCAGAGGAAGAGGGTAAGGAGAAGCAAGTACTTGGTTAAAGTAAAAAGTAGAACTGTATTTATCATAGTTAACGTCTGTTAATAAACCACTGTTTATCCTCATCTAACTATGTCTGAATACAAATGTGCATATCAACTATCTGCTCACCACTCATTGCGTGCGTCTGTCGTGGCGCGTCTTCGTTGGTTGATAGAATGGCCTATATCAACCAATCAGGAACTACTCGTAAGTACTGCAGAATATTTGTCCTTATGACAATATTCTAAGAATATGACTCTTCTAGTTATATTCTATTAACAATTTCTTAAAAATTGTTATGTAACGATTCACCCCGTTACAGTGTGTCAAAGCTACTTCTTGGTGTTACTGGTGTTTTAAGAGACGAGTATGGAAAAGAGAGACGGTGATGATCCTGCTTGGTAACGCCGTAAACCACAACACACGGCCGACAAGTTCTACTTTATAGGAAAGACGAAAAGTTATGGTGATGTGTCCTCCTCCGCCGCCAAGAGAGAATTTGGACCATAACTTCCTACTTTGTAATTTACCAAGAACTCTGATCGAAAGTCACTTTACATTTGCCGTTTGCCAGAGGTGCGAGATTTCCGCCTCTTCGAAGCATCGACCATTTACTCGTTAGCCCTCTGTTCGCCTTTGGTCACTTATAAGCCCATCACGTGCGGGCATTAATGCGTGCGCTTTACACTATGCCGTCGCAAATCGTGACGTAATCAAAGACTGACATCTACGTTTATGCGTATCTACCTGCGGGGAGGAGGCAGACTACGTCGATGTTCCTCAGCACGATATGCACGGTACATCTGGTGTCACTTATAGTCAGCCAGACAGCCAGACAGACAGACAGACAGACACGCAGGCTGGCAGAAAGTTGGTTTTGAAAGGTCGGTATTCAGCTTGCACACATTCACTAATAGCTTCAACCTTCGGACTCGCAATCCAAACACGACCCGATCATGTATGGTGAGCGTTAGGGTAATAGCAGTGTAAATTTGGATCAAGAATGGGATCCATCAGCGCGTGTGTATCGCTACTGCAGAGCCGACATCAGGAAATCACCACATTGGTGGCAAGGCTCGATCATGCGACATTAGACTGTACAGTTGCGTAGATTGTTGCAATATGTAGTGATCGGAGAATTCGAATGCAGCAATTCTGGATCAGTACAAACGGTAGAAACATGTGAACCAGGTGATTGTGAAGCAACTCACCGCTCAGCTTTTACGTCTCGCTCGATTGTTTCATCGACAGGCTGTGGTACCAATACAGTAACATTCCTGTAACGACAGAAAGCCATCGACACAAGATACGTGCGCAAAGATCAAGATGAGGCAGCGGAGCGAGTATGACTTCCACAAGTCGAAAAGCGCTCAATGGCTACTATCTGTGCATGACGGACAGACCACGAGCTCACTGAACCGCCGCGAATGAGCCATATCCTACGCATACAAGTTCCACGAATCACTGGCATTTTTGCATCTGATTTTGAAAGCGTCCGTAAAACAGGTAACAGGAGTGACAGAATAGCACAGAAGCGAAGATAGGGCCTCAGCGTGTCCGCTGTGTCTTCCTTGGGGGTTCATTCATTCACGAATAATCGTCATTGCCATAGGCTGTCAATCGTACGCAGAGATAGAACAAGGTGAACACGAAGCACAGTGAGCACATCCGCCGCCAGGAACGCATCGGTCCAGCGTGGCTGCACGACAGAGACGTTCCTTTCCGGCGAACAGTTCAACCATGCACTGCCACAGCAATGTAAGAGTTTCAACGTTAGTAGTGCATCGTCCGTCCATCTTCTGTCACTCTAGACGTAGACGTTGCTAAACAAAAGCGAAGAATATCAAAAGAGCGCAATTTTACTCGTTTGCGTGTTATCTTCGTACAGCTGGGCCGTATAGAGATTCTGAATTTCCACAACGGCTGACACGCACGCATGAGCTCCATGTTGTCCGTCAACAAAGAAATACAAGCGCGCGCACTTTGACGGTGTCCATGGATTTTTCGACGTGTCGTGGCTATGTCAACTGCAACTGGGAAGAAAGCCGTGCAGCTGAGCGCTGATCCTGTTCGTATGAAAGAGAGTATGCATGTTGGATTCTAGCCAGAAGTTGAACCCACAGAAAACAGCCCTTTGTAGGGACAAAGCCCTAATCATGTATTGTGAAGTGATGGGCAACGTCAACGATCCTGTAATTGATGGCCATCAACCGTTATGGTCGGCGAAACGATCGTACATTGTACCACTTCACTCTCTGACCGCACCTCTGATCGCACCACTGCGTGCGCTGTAGACTATTGATACTAAAGACAAGCCAGGGTGTTTTGCGGTCCAGTATTGTTAGGCCATTATCCAAGCGCCACCGTCTTTGAGACGCGTCACACAAGGAGCTCGTTCCGCTCCGATGCGGAAACTCAAAGTGTGGTGTATAATTGCGGCCTCTTTGTTGTGCGAAAGTACTGGTGTGGTGGCAGCAGTCGAGGATCCGCCAGTAGCGAGTGTCTTTAAGATCGAGCAGTCGACGCAGGACCAAACGGTGCGAAAACCTGGAAGTGGAAAAAAGACATTCCTCCGACCGTCAGGAGGCATCACCGCTGATGAAGCTGATAGCTCAGGCACGGAAAGATCATCGTTTCTCGCAGTGCTTGATGATATCTGGATGTCCATTTGGAAGTGTATCGGGAAGTATCTGCCGGGGACGAACGCATACAAGCAGAACAAAGTTGTTTATGACGCGAAGCTTTTCGGTGTCAAAGTGGATCGGGACGCGCAGCAGCAGTTTAGGGCAATGTTCGAGAAAGGCTTCGAGAATAAGTGGTCGAAAACGCAGCTTATGATTGCAATTCGTGACGCAAATCAAGCGTATGGAATACCATATCTCCATCATCTAGGGGGTCAGTACCAAGCATTCCTTCTGTCGGAAAAAAAGGAAAGTACTAAATGGTGGCCAACTGCGTGACATCGATGCAGCTAGACACACCACAAGTGTGTGAATACAAACTCATTGTAATAATACTTGGCTTTATAATGTGTTTGGTTTTATTTTATATTATGAGAGAGATACTTGCGTTGTTTCCGTACGCTGGATTGGCGTACGGCCTACAATCCCTTCGAGCAAAGTGTCGACGTGAGCCACTGGAAGGCCACCAACACCTAATATGAAAGACAGAATGGGCATTATTTTAAACGCATAACAGGATAATATACAATTTAAAAGGGCTCAAATTTAATTGCTTGATCAACGAATGGGATGAAGAATCATTAACGAAGACTGTAGACTCACTAGCGGCTCTTAATTATATTCGTGACATTCCTACGACAATCATAAATAAGTAGTTCCTGCGAAAGACGGTGACGCAATCATTATCTTGTACTATAATTCGCAGCAACAATCATCTGATGGCGATGCATTACGTTTCGCTTTCGTAACAGCTACGTGTAAACCGAAAATGCTAGGAAGTATGACAAACTACTTCCGTTCACGCAAGCAGAATAGTAGTGATGCGCAAACTTTTAAGTGAATTTCGTTTAATACATGTACGAATCGCTTTCGAGTCCATGAAACAATGATAGGATGCATATGCTAGCCAGCAAACCAAATGGAAATCCTGTGGAAGATATCGGCAAAAACGAAACTCAGATCAAAACGACTTTTTAGGGCGCCTATGATAGCTGCCGAACAACGTTAACGAAGATGGTATCGACAATGCATTGTAGCTAAAACTGCAAGAGCATCCTCCCCTAACATTCATACGTCATCGATTTGTACTGATTTTGAACTTGTCCATTCACGCAAGATGCCGCACATTTTCCTTATAAACTCCGACATCGTATCGTTATCCACATGTTTTAAATCCGGCTGCCGATTCGTACCGCCAGCATCAAAATCAGCACATTCACATTGGATTATATGCCCTCATGATTGATTTTGGGAATGGTGGTCCTGACCCCCACTTTGTGCTATATTCACACATTTGATAACGGTACCCATAACTGAATCTCAGGGCATGGCTATTAAAGAAAATCTCTTTATTGAGTACTTGCACCACCGCCAAATCTGAAACTCTCTAATAGAGATACCTTTCTGATCGCAATATTTACACTTAACAAAACGCTGTGGATCCAAACGAGATTTCACTACTGCGTAGTATTCATGATTGGAAGCAACCCCAAAATTCGGCATGTGCCAAATTTAAGGGAAACAGAAGGACGTCGCTGGATCAGATTTTTGTATACTTTCAATTGCACAAATGTAGTCAATATAGTCAGCAATATTACACAAACGCTGGTGCGTAATTAGCTCACTAATCGCACCGGTATTTCGCTGAAATAGTATGAAAGCTATGAGTACAAGAAATATGAACACCCTATACTTGGGCAAACTTCGCCCCTCGTTAAAGTTCATGTTAGCATAATCCAAACAATTGGTTCTAGTAAGCATTCATTGTGCGTTAAACACATCGCTTTTATGCAGTCTACAATTCCAACAGCAACAACTTACATTTTATAACGTAGGACACATGCACCCAATTTCATACTGCACTCCCTTATCCTTAAATTACTCAGCTACCAGCTACTTCTTTATCGAAACCAAGAAGCTCATTTCAGATATAAGCAGCTGGTAAACACCGTTCTAAGTAATGTGGCAGTCCCACGGTGATTCTTGGTACCTACATTTTTGATAATGCTAAGGTAGCACTCCAGAATGTCTAGCTCAAAACTAATCAGAAGTTTATCCGACTTTAATCGGTTGCGTTGTACTCTCCCTGTTTTGTTGTCTTTGTCCCAAATCAGGCGATTTTCATTTCTCAGTGTTTGTCTTTTTCGACAAAATTAATTTACCACGAAGGGTGAAAATTTTAATGACTGTGCGCAAGGTGAATGCCGATCTCGACAAATTGTATTTATCGGTATGTCTTTATGTAAATAGCACATGTGTACCTTACACGTCGTACTAAGTGCGATGCATCCTGTCCCCTCCTCATATGCGTCGCTTTATAGTGGGGTCACCAGTTACAACTGCGACAGATATGAAGTTCACACTCGCATCAACGCTCGCACGTGGTTGGCTAAAACAGTAATGAAGGGCGGACAAAGGGTTAAAAAGCAAATGGTAGACACTAAGGTAAAACTTCTCGTACATTTCGCAAACAGTGAGTAGTATTTATCCGAACTGTTTGAAATAGTAAGAGGTTATGGTCGCGTTTTTCTCTCAGCAGCAGTAGAAGCCATTTAATTTATCTTTAATGTTAATTAATTAAATCATACGAAGTCGACCCTATTTTGTTTTTGACGGGTTTACGAGAAGGATCATTCTTTGTTTACCTTTTTCTAACATTCATCCTTTCAGAATGCCAACAACATCAACAAGTAACCATTAACACCAAATTTCAAACAGCACACTAATATTCAGTACCATATCTGAATCCATCCCTCAGCCGCTAACCTTTAGGAAATTAAACGTTAATATACAGAACTTGATTTGGTTCTATGGAATGGATTGTCATATTAAAGATCCAATTTCAGAGTAAATTGCAGTTGGATCCCTTGCACTTGACAATCGGTGGTCAGAGCACTTCACAATCGACGTCGGCGTCACAACTTTCACGATGATAAGTTTCATCTGTTACTTTTCGGCAATCGAATACTAGAGCGACCAACGCTGGCGAATAGAGTACATGAACTTTATTTTGAATTGCATAACCCAAGCAGGGTATAAATGTAACGGGGCACTGAAAACTTGTACTAACACAGTACAAGTTCTTACACTGACATATTATACGTAATGCTGCGAGTCACTTCATGTACACGATACGTGCAAAGAAGGAGAAACTACTGATCACTTGTCGGATAGAGGTAGAACGTAAAATCCTTATTGGTTATAATTAAGAACTAATTATTTACTTGAGTTTAGTCCTATTTTAATCATGCCTACCTATTAATATGTATAGGTAAGACATGCTCACCACTCATTGCGCGCGTCCATCATCGATAGTACCTCAGGAATGATTGACATACTTACCCATATCAGCCAATGAGCAAGTGCTTTTGTACAGTGCCATTCAAGTTATCATTTTTCTAATTATTACATGTTTTTGCTGATCAAATAAAACAGGATTACCCTGTTACCCCCCCTAAACGATATTCACCCGTTAACCATCATGTTTTAAGTAGTCACTGTACGACCACTTTAAGTGACAGGGAGCACTTGTTTGTTAGTATCAACTCATTTCTTACCTTTTTATCGCATGGTATTAAAGTCCATGCGATGCATGGCAAAAGGTCACGCGGCAGACGATGCGCTGCTACTGCTATCTCCGCGCAACCTGCATTAATAGCTGGCCCGGGTTCACGTGGTGCGTTCACACGTGCTAATTTATGTAATTTTATTGGATCTCATCTACGATGGTAATTAGGACGTAGATTCCGACTCAAAGAAGACTGCAGAGACGCTTAGATTACCCGAGGCCACCGCTTATGCGCCTTCGAACAAAAAAGCTCGATAGTACACTCAGACTCATGGTCACTTCTATAATCTATTCGATTTAAAAGGTAGTTAATCTGTCAATCCCTGCTCTTGATTCTGTGCAATTGCCGGAGCTCAAGCACGACGATGTCCCGCGCCATCGTGAGCACAAATATCGCGCTACCACAACTGTCGTTGCTTATATGTGGGAGGCTAAAGACCGCAATGCATCAAGTCTTACCCTTGAGCGCAAGCCCTGTCTTTTTCCGGAGCAGCTTAACAGCGAGTTGACCGGTGATACTACCGCGCATCATCATATACACAATTCGGCTGCATGGAATTGACTTCAGTGCAAGCAACATTTGCGCTTTAGCAGAATTTTATCTCGATTATTTCGTTAAGGACCAATGGTTTAGCGTCTACCCCAATCGAGAAAAGTGCTCGCTGTTGCAGTCTTAAAACGCGTTCGTCCGCAATTTCGAAGATGTTTGGCGTGGAGACTGACTTTTTAAGCCTTAAAATGGCTCGTGTTGAGCTGAAATTGTGTACTTTAACCGGTGCAGAGATCAAATTGCATCGGTTGTATCAACATACAAGAATTTCTTGCCTCTCTTTGGGCTACCAATGTCTGTGCTGTCCAGAAAATATGAATCGCACCCGAAGGGATGTTATCTTGAAAACCACGAATCGCACCTAAAGGGATGTTTTCTTCGACCTTGGGAAGGGCACAAATCTCAAGTGAGATGCGTGAAGCAATTTATAGTTTGATATAGCTCTGTAAGCTTCATGGGTGTGTGTTGTTCGATGGAACCATCTGTTCACAAGATGGCTGTCGTCATATTTATGGACAATACTCTTAACAATGGTCATCATCTCGGTGAGTGGCTACCAGCTTTCATGCGACGGCGCATAGACGCTAGCGAAAGATGCAGCTTGCTCGCTGCTACTTTTTTTTACGGTAAATCACGATACACTCCACGTGGAAGCTTTGGCCACCGTGGAAGCTTATTAGCGGCTGCGATGGAGAAGGGACTACAAGATCCTTCCGCATATTGGACCTTTTTTCGGAAGTCAAGTAGCACGATCATGTCCTCCGGGAGATGCGTGATGACATCAATCACGAGTGTGATGCACATTGCGCGTCTGAGGCGAAAGGACAGCATTTCGTGTCTATTGGCCGGGCGACTGATCAGAGTATGCTTTCTCCCAGATGTAGAACGAGTGAGGGCGTCCAGCTCGTCTTGACGAAATATTATCATCTCGTTGCAAGATCGTATACTTCAGAGCCAATTCGAGACTTCGGTCCGTGACCACAAGAATCAGCTCGTAGTTTGTGAGCGCGTTGGCTTCCTTCTTCCACGAAAGAAGAAGCGTGATGATAGTACGAGAGGAGCCTACCGACGTAGGACATTGGATGCTTGCACATACTACAATTCATATTGATCGTGTAAGCATTGCCTTTGCGATGTAGTACACGAAATGAGTCAGTGTGC